ACACGGGAAAGACATAAATGATGTCATTACAATGTTTTCAGTCACGAACACAGGAAGACCATTGTAAAACCAATTTGAAAGTGTTCCCAGTGGTTTTGCGGTAAGCTTTTGAAAGACATTTTCGATGTATTCCCGGTGGCCGGTGTCAAAACACCAGGAAAACATCGTGAACAATGATAAATGGTATTCTGATGTCATGGCCATGGTCCACAACGGGACATCATATTACGATACAAAATTCTTTCTGCAATGTTTTCCGTGCAAAACATCCCACAAACAGTCAGAATGTCTTTTCGATGTTGGGACGCAAAACATAATCATGACCGTGTGAACACATACAGCAAGTTTGGCCAATGTCTCTAACATGATTACCGACCAAATAAGCTAAAATAACTTTTTCAGCTATTCTCTATGTTTCTCCAATGTTTTCGACCAAAACATCGAACTTTGCCCGCGGTGGGAGAACGCTGATCCGCCCCGCCTGCCCTGGAGCGGCAGATAACCGAGATCCGTACAGAGATACCTAGAGATATTCGCGTTTCCTGATGAACTCTCCGAGGAGTCTTTGAGTCGTTTGGTTTTGGATCTCGCCTGAGCTTACGATTGTCGCCTGAGGAAGGTCTAGTGTACGTGCCCCCCCTTGGAAGGCTGTATCTTCCCTCAGGCAAGCATTGATGATTGCAAGTCCATCGACCCAGCCCGCGGCGACTGTCCCGAGGTGCTAATGGGCATTTTGGAGGTGCACGAGTGCGGGGCGGTGGGTGAGGATACGAGAGAGGCAACGTCGCAGCGTGTGTCGACCCTCTTCGACGTAACTGACGTTCTCTCTATTGCACTCTCCCAAGAACGATTTTCCCGACCGAATGGCAATTGAAACTCTAGGATGCCTCGGCGAACTGTGCGTAGTGGACGGGGTAAAAAGGTAGCTTGCACAGCGACCATACATACGTACCGGGGTTCATGTCCGAACTTCGAGGGTAGGTATATTGAAACCGGATCTTGTGGGCTGTCCTCACCAACCAGGTTTTCTGTATGTGCTCTGCGGCACAGGTAAGTGGTACGGATCGCATTAAATCAGATCTACTGGAGGTACGCACAAACGATGGCGTTGATATACGGGTCCATGGAGGCAGCGATCAAAGTATATAGGCGAGGTTGATAGAATAGAAGGGAACTCTATTAGGCGATGGTCAGGTCGTATTGTAGAGGGCAGCGAAAAGTCAATCAGTTCTCCCGGAGGTTGGGGAGGAACAGTGGGGCGCCATTGATGATGGCCCCATCGTAATAGAACTCGTCTAGGTGGCTAGGAATCAGAACCGGTGTCAGCATAAACACCTGATAGCACGCGCAGTAGGACGCATACAACTTGTTCAGTGCATCGCGCAGAGTGTTAAACCGCGCATACACATCCTCTGCGGTTGTTTCGCAACAGTTGTACAACAAGTCAAGGTGATCCACGAGTCCCCTCTTCTCGTCCTCTGTCAGACGAAGGTCGAGACTTGAATAAATCGAAAATACTTCAGTACCCTTCATATGCATCAGCGAGCATAATGACAGACGCACTCAGCATGTATCGTGGTCACAATATCGAGCACGGTCACTCCAGTCCGTCTCTTGACAATCTCCCCGGCGAGTTCATGCCCACCCAACTCCCCGAGAAGGAGTTTGTTTATGGGAACATCGGTGGCGAAGCTCCGCTGTATGAGCAGGTGCCAGATCCTGTAGGAGGGCACTTCCGCCGTAGGATTCTTCCGCTTTAGTCAGCGGGCGAAGCTGCGCGTCTTCGCGCACGCTGTAGTATCCGCCCCAGGGCCGGTCACGGAATTTGATGCTGGAGAGGACGCGGTGCGGCGAAAGGTGCGGGGGGTTGTCCTCGCTCTCGCCGTCTGCCCGACGACCTTCGTTGTCGATGACCATGTGTGTACTTGGGGTATCGTCTTCAGAATCCGAGTCCGAGGCGGTGTACAAGTCGTCTTTCCAGTCGGAGAACACGGCGAGGGGCTTGAGCCAGCCCGCTACGTCTTCCATGCGCCGACCTATAGGAGCTGAGTACACATCTTGGGACAGGGACTGCGCAAGACTTACTGTTGTACTTGAGTAGCCCTTCCCCGCACCGCGGGTGTTTGCAGAAGCCCTCCTTCTCGACGAGCTCCAGAGCAATGCCGCGCCAGCAGTGTGGGTCCTCGAGGTCGTCCTTGTCCAGCGCGCCGATGCCACTATGCCAACACACGCGCCGCCAGAAGAACTCGTCGTTCTTCTCCGAGTCGTATATCGCGGCGATACGAGGGTGCGTCTTGTAAAAGCACACATGGGTGCGTATGTCGCCTAGTGGGATGGTGGCCTTTATGACCAGAAAGATCTCGAGTGGAAAGACGCGCTGAAACGGCGTGCTTGGGAGCAAGGGTCGCTTGCAGGGCATATTGTAAACTCAAAGGTCAAGAGTGAGTACTGGAGGACGCGAGGAGGGAGGGAGGACAAGCGCTGACACGACTGCGTATACGCTTCGAGCCGGGTCAGGTGATCGTATTCGGCGCCACAAGGTCGGACGTTGGGACGAATGTTGGGGAATTGATTGTACGTCGATACGTACTAGCGCAATTGAGTCCACAGATATACATGTAGCAACTGGCCGCTGGCACCCGGGTCTCAGACAAAATATACCAGCTCGCTCAGGCTAGAGTTGGTAAAATGCGAAAGCAGGCCCATGACTTGTTGCCTCCTGATACTCGAGGCTCGTAAGAGGGCTGATTCAGCAAGTAGCCGCTGAAGGTTAGAAGTTGGTTTTTGCAGGGGGCTACCGGACGTACCATATCGAAAGGATGGAGCGAGCACTGCCCATCATGCCGAACACATGCTCGAGTGGCCAGTCCTTCGGAATGCATCGGCCATGCAAAGAGATGTGCTCCCCCGCCTCGTCTACCGCCAATGGAACGTCTAACCTGCATCCCATGTGTCTCAACAAACGCTGCGTAGGGAGGTCAGATTTAGCGATTCACTCACCCTTCATGGATCGCGGACACAATGTCCAGCACGGTAACCGGCCCCGTTTGTACCACAATTCCACTAGGCAGAGGCCGACCTATGAGATGCAGCAGCATGACTGAGTCCACCGGGGGGGACGTGGCGAAGCTTCCAGCCACGAGCGGATGCTCTGCGAGGTACATCCCTGGGTAGTCGTCGGGGCGATTCATATAGTTGAGGTCAGCCCCTCGACGCGGCGAGTCGCCGGGAGCTCGCAGGTGCGCATCGTCTTCAACCCGACTCCGGCGAAAGACATCGCTGAACTGCTTAAACTCGATGTGCTCGAAGACCTGATGGGCGGTGAGCGGCGAGAGGGAGTCGTGCTCGCTACGGCTGTGGATTGGTTTGAAGACTTGAACGTCTTCCTGAACCTCGCGCATGCATTGTCCTAAAAAGAGACACGTTAGGCCGTGCGCTTTCACAGCGTGAGCAACAAGAGATCGCGGCTTACGGTTGTACTCTAGGAGCGCCTCTCCGCAATGCGGATGAGTGCAGAACCCGTCCCGAGCGATATAGTCGACGGCGACATCCCGCCAAGGAGACGGGCTCCCATGATGCGACTGAGTGTCATCCCTCATTTTTTCGTCCTCGTCCTCAGAGTCCACGACGTCGGTAGGACCGCCGGTGAGGCCGTTGTTCCAACATGCGAGGCGCCAGAAAGCATCGGGATGCTTCCCGGAGTTGTAGAGTGCCGCAACCTTAGGGCTACTGAGGTAGAAGCAGACGTGCGTCCGTAAATCCCAATCTTCAACAAGCTCTTTGATGATGAGCAGTAACTCGGGAGGGAAATCGAAGTCCTCTATGGGCTGGGCGCCGGCCATGGCGAGTACGAGCGAGAATGCGCTTGAGGTGTCCGAGGGTACGAAGTCCGAGCCGGGGGAGAGCCGGTCAGTGGTGGTTGCTGCCAAAGAGCTTCAAATCCGATAGCGAAAATTTAACCAGCCCTGGGCAGGGCGCTTCCCAGCAGTACCGTACGCATACATGCTGCCAGTATGAGACCAGGGTCATGGAGGATACCAGATCCATACCGCGGAGCAAGCGCCCGGGATAAGCCGCCGCAACTTTGATGGGAGCCTGTCTCGATTTAGTAAGTCCTGTGGTTCATTGCTAACTCGAGCAGACGCGTTCATGAACATCGACGACAGTGTACGCAGCCTGAATGGGGAAATTGGACGTATATACAATCAAAACATACCAGCCCTTGAATATAAGCTCAGAAATAACATAATAACACATCTGGCACAGCGAATGCAGACTCCAGAATTCGACCACTTCAGGTCACCAATCTCCACGGCGAGCTGCGTCCACATCTCTCGGGACACACTTCTTCCCCGTCTACGCACCCATGTTCTCAAAGCCTTCATTGAGAACCTCAAACTGCAGCTCCGTGATGCTCTCCTCCCTAAGCCACGCGTTCAGCAGCAGCTTACGCCGTCTCGACGGAAATCGCGCGAAGGCGTTGAGCGCCGCGCCATCAACGATGCCCTTCGACACTAGAAGCGGAAGCAGGCTCGTCTGCTCTGGGAACAATGCATCTAAAAACTCGAACACTGGGTCGCGTTTATCTTTCCCTTCTGGAGCGCCCTGCGTCGACTGGGAAGGCCCTGCGGCACTCGGCGAGTGGGCCGGGGAGGCCGGCGCAAGGCGGGGTCGGGAGGCCTGGCTCGCCGTAGTGGAAGCATGGTCGCCTGGGTGAGCGACACGGTTCGTCGACTGCCCCTGCGCTTGCACGTCGCGCTCATTTGAGCCCCGATTGGGCTGTGATCGACGGAACGAGCAGTCTTGAGATAGACGGACGAGGACGTGACCATGGATAAACCACGAACCGTGTTGACTTGCGAATGTTGAGAAGAGCCTGCTGAGCCTGCACCTGGGGAGCCGACTGTCCCGTGCGCGTCGCCTTCGTGTACGGTCCTAGATAGAGCGGAGGCTGCCGCGTCCCCGGAGTCAGGACGCGGCGGTGGCACCGGCGGGGTTTCAAGCAATTCACGGGGGTCGCCGTCTGCCGATGGTGGCTGGCGATGTATTTTGGGTCAGCACGAAGTAGATGATACTGATACAAGCCTCTAATTCTCACCGCTTTGCGCTCCCAATCTACAAGGCCATCGCGTCTGCCATACAGTTTCTTGTGACGGTGTTCGCGCACAATCGCGAAGATCGGCCAAGCCTTGTCGTATGCGTTCATGAATGGAAACTCGTCTTTGACCTATGATAGACACTGATTAGACGACCATGTAGCGGCACTAACGAAGCGAGTTACGATGTCCACAAGTGTCCACACATCAGGGGACTTTGTACTGATAATCTGGAGATCGAGAGTGTCCTTGAGATCTTCGCTGAGGGTAGAGATGCGTCCCTACCAGCCCGAGTCCCGAAAATGACGGCGTATCAGCAACACGTTGTGCAGGCGTGCGATCACGGTAAGGGGCCTGGCTAAAGTACGCACCACTACTTTACTGAACACCCTCAGACCACGGACTGTCTGCCCAAGCCTCATTTGGTCGGCCAAGTTGCCCGGGGTCATGGTTACGGACAAGTTGTGCGACAGCTTAGCCGGCTTTGGGATCCATTTCTCACGATGTTGCCCTCCTTACGGACTCAGAGAGTGTCGATACAAGATGGATTGTGAGGTCTCACCTCGCCCGACGAGGTTCGTATAGTCGTCCAAGTCAGAGTGGGCCATCTCCAAACGCAGAAGCAACGCGCGCGGGCGCAGCGAGTACGATGGGGTAAGGACGAAGTTCGTCAATAACTTGCTAGCGGTGCGCCGGCTAAGACCGAGTGTAGGCCACGGTCCACGGGAGCGGCCATTACCAGAGGGGGTTGCACCCTCGACGGGCTCCAAGGCAAATGTTCTCTAGTCCTCTATCCAGGACGGGAGAAGGTCAATTCACATCTGACCCCACATTTGACAGATGAATGGAGTGCTTACCCATGTTCTTTCCCGCAATATCTCGATATCTGCCCGTTGTTGCATTGACGGCGACCATCCTGACGGAATGCCATATCAGTAAATGTCGGCATCATGATGCCCGTAGTGCGGAACCGTCGCAGGACAGAACCGTAATACGGAGTCAGAGATAAAGTTAGTAATGTCCACATGGACGGTCGCCACTCGCGGGAGAGATCCCAGGAATTCGAAGGCATGAGCGTCCTTGACAGCTGTGGAGTGCTATTAGCAGACGGATCCAGATTAAACGTCACTGGGCTGGGCCGCTTTGCTCACCTTGTGATTCTCTCGCTTTGGTGGGTGGAGCGGCCGATCAAGAAGGTGAACAGACGCATGCAGATACGCCGACGGCCATTCGCGAAGCATGAGCAGTTCAAGAATTGAAGGTGTCATACGTCTGGAACAACGAACGAACCCTCGAAACGGCCAACTACAGCTGACGAATCCCAAGAGACTTCGACATCTCCCGCCACCTCATTCCATCGCCGCCCCAGCACCCATTCTTTCGAAGCCTCCATTGAGAACCTCGAACTGCAGCTCGGTGATAGCCTCCTCCCTGAGCCACGAGTTCAGCATCGACTTGCGCTGCTTCGCCGGGAAGTGCGCAAAGCCGTCGAGTGCGGCGCCGTCGACGATGCCCTTCGCGGCGAGTACCGGCAGCAGGCGTGTCTGCTCCGGGCGTAGTTTGCTGAGAAAGTCGAGCACGGGGCTCATGTTGACCACCCCGGCGTCATGGTGCGCATCGGCGCCATGTCCAGCCCGGACTGAAACCTTCGAGATGCGGCGATCCGCCCTCGCACCGGTGCGCCGAGCGCCACGAGTCGCTGGAGCGCGATTGCCTGAGCCTGGGCACGACGAGCTCGCCTGCATTTTAAGCTCCACGCTTGGCTCGCGAGAGGCCCGAGACCGAAGCTGCCATGAACTTTCAGAGACCAGCAGGCGAAAGCAGAGGAACCGAGGATCGTGGACGGACCATAGGCAGCAGATTCGGCGCATCCGCATCCTGGGCGCTGGCCTGGTAATCTTCTGACTCTCCGTCATCGTGTGCCATACCAGATGGACCGGCGACCGGCGCCTGCTCCGAGTCGTCGCGCGGCAGCGGAGATGGCGCTCTGCGGAGGTCGTCCGCTAGTTCTGCAGGCTAGCGAAGATCACGCTGTCAGCAGGACAAATCGGGAGGTTGTGCCACGCAGGTGTTCACGTACAGCCTTGGACTGCCAGCGCAACAGGCCTTCCTTCCTACCATTGAAGCTGCGGCGGCGATGTTCGCGCACGATGGCCGCGACGGGCCAGCAGTTTTCGTAAGCGTCCAGGACCGGAAGCTCGCGCTTGACCTGAACAAACAACAAAAAAGGCTCCCTGTGAGAAGGAGCCTTCGTTGTGCACAGACTACTCACGAGATCGACAAACGCCTGCCACTCCTGCGACTTCACCGTGACGCGGTGAAGGTGCAAGGTGTCCTTATGGTCCTCACTCAGATTCGCGATCTTCTCCTACAGAAGAACATGCATACTGCGTGAACGACCTTTCTCGGCGTCGAACAGCCATGTGTACTCACCACCAGTTTAGCGAAGAGTCTCAGGCCGTCATCAGTCCCCCCGAGTCTCATCTGGTCCGCGAGGTTTCCAGGCATAGAAATAAGTGCCGCGCTATGCGAGACTTTGCGGGGCTCCGGGATCCTGTTTCGCTCTGCGCGGCTATCAGCGAGTCCGCCCAGATGGTGTTCACGGGAGTACTCACCTCGGTCGACGAGGTTCGCATTGCCATCGAGCTCGAAGTCAGCCATATCGGAATCGAAGAACGCTGTGAGCGGCCACTTGCACAGAGGTAAAGCTTTGGAAGCGGGGGGTGATTTTGGGCAGTAAAGCGACACGCTATATGAGCAAAATTGGGCTTGCGCAATAATGGCGGCGGCGACTACGGAAGCTGTTACCAATGTCAGGGCCTGAGCGTATCGGGTATGTCCTCTACTGAGAATGCGAGACACAGTCCACTCCGAAGCGAACGCATACACAGATGCCAGCCGTATGGCGCCGTGTCCCATGATTGTCAGATGCGTCACTTCGATTTGCTTCGGGGCGGTCGACTCGACCGAGGCTTACACCATTGGTCGCGGCAATTCCCTAAACAGTACGGCCACCTCGGTAACGAGGATGCAGAACGGAAGCGAAGATGCGTCCCAAAGCGCATTCCATCACCGTGGGGATGGCCTCGTGAGGCGCGTCGCGAAGAGTTGTAGACTAGAAAAAAATAGACGAGAATAGAGTTATGAGTGCTCCGCCGGTAATGTGCGGGGGTAAATACTGAAACATGCGCGGGATTTGGGTGGTTGTGGTGGAACTGAACCTTGATCCAAGAAGATAGAATCGTGTGCCCTAAATGACATCACCCTTAAACCTTCCGCCCGAGAAGAAGGGCGGCGACTGGAAGGCGTGCCATCTGAGTTCAGAGCCGGTGTGTCCCAGCACTCTTCACCGCTTGTGTCGTGATTGTTCCTGTGTGGTAGACTCGCCTTGTGGTATAAGTAATCCGTGGATAGTACGGGCAATTACCGTCCGATATTACAAAGAGGCCCATGCCAAGCAAGAAACGGACGTGCTACTCGATAATACTGAGTTCACGGGTCCGCGTCCGCGCGAAATCGTCCTTGTACGTATTCCATATCCTGTGCACCGCATTCAACAGACGTCGACACGAGAAGCAGAAGAGAAGAACGCACCACATGAGCTCGTCTATGTACTGCTCCTGCACATGTCGGATTTCTTCTAGACTTGGCTTGTCGCATTGGACGACGTGTATAGGGTGGCCAACTTCGCGCGGCGTACAATCAGTGTCAAAGAGCCTCTCTGGAATCTTCGCGAAGTTACTCACTAACTGCTACGATCCGTTTACGATACGGCATCAGACCCAGGTTATCTGGTGCAACGATAGGCGTTAGTGCGCACTGGAGCGGGGCGATGGACAAGCATACAATTCAAAAGACCCCTGCCGTGGAAAAGCGGGAGCGTAAAGCCAAAGACGTTCTGGAACTTTTTCTGTAATGTATACAGCGTCGTTCCCTTCTCGTTGGGCATTTGCTGGAAAATCTGCATGCCGTACTAATTAGTGGATTGCTGGGGTGTATCTTTAGAGCGAGACGTACGTCGTTCTCTCCGAAGGAGAACACGGGAACCAGGTCGGCACTGTATTGGAGTGTCAATAGGGCCCAAGGCCAGCATCTCGAGTGTGTGTCGACTTACCCATGCTGGATGGCAATCTTGATGAAGCCCAACCTGCGCCACTGACGTTATCCTCTGTGCTTCGTGACCATCTACGCAGTCGCACTTACCTCTTCCGTAGGGTGAGGTCCGCAGTGCCAGGGTGCGCGCTGAGGCTCTCGGCCGCACCACCCACCACGATAGTGATCGAGTTGCCCGGGCCCTTCTTGAGTATATTTGAGCAAGATTGCTTCGATACCGAGCATATACCCATAGCGAGGATGATGTCGCGGTATATTGGCATCCGGAAATTGCTCGCGAGCGTTAGCAAGTGCGGGACGATGCCCGGGAACGCGGCGGAGAACCCGGTACCTTTGATAAACGCGTCAATATTCGGCGGCATAGAGCACGGACGCGCAGGAGACATACTCTCGGTCGCGAATGTGCAGATGGCACCCCTGGGGAGAGGTAGTGAGATAGGATCTATCCCGTCAGTGTCAATACAGAGAAGCTCACATGCCAATGATGCCTGCATCGCGCGAAGTCAGTAACAATCATTCATCGTGCACATGCCAGACAGGTTCTGCCTACCATGAGGGTGATAGCCGAAGACGTATGGTCGGTCGGGAGGTAATTCACATGTCTGCCTCCGGGCGGCGCTCAGCTAGGTGCCCGAACGCAAGGAGAGGAGACGTACACACCTTCAGGAATCTAGCGGTCGTCACCGTCAGGGGCCAGGCATACATGGGCAAAAGGGTGGCACTCACGATGCGGGGTAGTAGTCGGCGAAGTACCGCCAGAAGGACATTGAGCGGAACCACGGGCTCAGACGACCACCATGCTCCGGGCTCCTATCAATGTAGTGCACCCATATCATGTACGCCGCAATGAAGGGCCATAATGGCGGGATAGAGCTACATTGGCACCCGTCTAGTCGGTCTCTAGTGCAGCAAGAAACATCACAGAGAGGCTCACCACAGAATGAGGAAGATGGTGATGTTCCAAACGATCGTCGTCGACCATATCGCGACCGCAAGCGTCTGCAGCCTCCTCTTTCTCGGGATCTTTGCGGGAACGAACCTGAAACATCAGCGCATTAACGACCGATCCAACCAAGCGCGAAGGAGAAGGCCGCACTCGATGTGGGCGCGCAGGTTCGCGACGGGCTTTAGGGGCGTGGTGGTAAGGCTGCTGAGGCTGCTGAGCCGTTCGCGGAGCGAGCTCGAGGAGACGGTACGTCTCGCCGACGTGAACACTTTCCGGACCTCCATCGCGCCGGTTTCTGCGTGTTACTGGATGCGTGCGCGCGTGCGGCGGCCCGTGGTGTGAGGACGGATTCCTGGCTCCAACGGCAGTCGACGGGGCTATGTGTGTGAGAATCGGGGCACACGGTGCGGAGCGGCGGCAGCAAGACGAACACGGAAAGCTACGGCAGCAGTGAACCGAAGGCAAGGAATGTTGAACGTCCGAACCGGCAGAACGAGAGTGAGAGGAAGAGCGAGAACGGACGCGAACGAGAACAAGTGAGACGGAGCCAAGAGGTGCCTGACTGTCGCGGTCGGGTCGGTGACCGTGTGCCACCACACTCATGCCATGGCGTCACTCAGCGCCTCTCATGTCTCCTTCGGACCATCCTCACGAGCTCACCGGCGAACTTTCGAGCACACAAGACGCCATGATGAGCTAGAAGAATGCGATTCGATATACTACAGAGCTGCCAAACGATCTAGTCATTTTGCATACAAACTACAAAGCTCGAACTCAAGACCATGCCAATCCACGTCCGTCAAGTCAATCCGGGCTGCGTCGTTCATGCGTACAAGTCGTCGTCCTGCGTGTCCTCGCCGAACCCAGCATTGCTCGCGGCGGGCGCCGCCGCCGGCGCGACAGTGCCAGCGGAGTCGGGGAACTTGAAGCTCGACCCGAACGACCGCGACTGCTGCAGGTTCTGCGCGAACATCTCGTATCTCCGGATATCCGCGTCGGACACTGAGCGACGGGCGAAGCGCATCGCCTCCTCGAAGTGTGCCCTGAAAAGTCATGTAAGTATAAGAACGACAGGTAGCACTAGGAGAGCGTGTAACGCACCTTGTGATGACCGGGACGGGGTCCTCTTCCTCCTCCTCGTCCTCCTCCATCTTGACGTCGCCCGCGTCCTCCTTCTCCTTCTTCTCCCGTGCGCGCCGGATGTCCGACTCGATACTCTCGCGGATCGCGAGCTTCGCCGCACGTTGACAGATCTCCGTCAAATCAGCACCGGAGAAGCCGTGCGTGTGCTTCGAGAGGAAGATGAGGTCGACATCCGGGGCAACCGGACTCTTCCTGAGCGCCGCCCGGAGGATGGACAGACGCGAGGGCTCGTCGGGCAAAGGTATGTAGATGAGCTGATCAAGACGACCAGGACGGAGGAGGGCAGGGTCGATCTGGTCGGGCCTGTTCGTCGCGCCAATGATGAACACGTTCTTCTTGACGTTCATGCCATCCATCTCCGTCAGGATCTGGTTCAGCACACGGTCGCCCGCGCCTCCAGCATCCCCTGACGAACCACCACGCGCCTTCGCGATGGAGTCCAGTTCGTCGAAGAACATCACGCAAGGTGCCGCCGCTCGTGCCTTGTCGAAGACGTCGCGAACGTTCGCCTCAGACTCACCGAACCACATAGTGAGCAGCTCGGGACCCTTGATGGAGATAAAGTTCGCCTGCGTCTCGTTCGCGATGGCCTTGGCGAGCAATGTCTTACCCGTACCAGGGGGACCGTAGAACAGTACACCCTTGGATGGTGACATGCCGTACTTGATGAACTTGTCGGGGTGCTCGACGGGGTACTGGACGGTCTCCTGGAGCTCCTGCTTGACCTTGTCGAGACCACCAATGTCCTCCCACTTGACGGTGGGAACCTCCACGACAGTCTCGCGCAGGGCAGACGGGTTGGAGGTGCCGAGAGCGAAGCGGAAGTTGTCCATGGTAACACCCAGGGAGTCAAGCACCTCTGCGTCGATGGTGTCCTCGTCGAGGTCAATCAAGTCCATCTTCTCACGAATTTGCTGCATGGCGGCTTCCGAGCAGAGCGCAGCAAGATCGGAACCGACGTAACCGTGAGTGTCCGCGGCAATCTATAGCGCATACAGTCAATACAGGAGAGCACATACAACGCAAGCAATACGCACCTGCTCAAGGTCAACGTCGTCCCCGAGCTTCATGTTCTTGGTGTGGATGCGAAGAATCTCCAGGCGGCCAGTGGGGTCGGGGATGCCGATGTCGACCTCACGATCGAACCGACCGAACCGACGGAGGGCAGGATCGATAGAGTTGGGACGGTTGGTGGCAGCCATAACGACGACGTTTGAACGCGCCTTCAAGCCGTCCATGAGAGTGAGCAGCTGCGAAACCACGCGACGCTCGACCTCGCCGTTCGTCTTCTCGCGCTTCGGCGCAATGGAGTCGATTTCGTCGATGAAGATGATAGATGGTGAGTTCTTCTCAGCCTCCTCAAACGCCTTCCGCAGGTTGCTCTCAGACTCTCCAGCCATCTTGCTCATGATCTCCGGGCCGTTAATAAGGAAGAAGAACGCGCCCGTCTCGTTTGCGACCGCACGTGCCATGAGCGTCTTACCAGTACCAGGTGGACCGAACATGAGGATACCACGAGGGGGCTTGATACCGATAGCCTTGAACAACTGAGGATGGCGGAGGGGGAGCTCCACGAGTTCACGGATCTGTGCCATCTGCTTGCGGCAGCCACCAATGTCGTCGTAGCCGACCTCGTTAAGATTCGCCTCCTCGTCTTCGCGCTTGACGGGGTCGCCCTCTGTAATTGATAAGCCCGCGATCTTGAAACATAATGTGCGCAGGAAACCAACCTGTGTGGATCACAGTGTCTTGTGCCACTATACAGTATTCCGCGGGGTCCGTCTCAATAACCTTGAACTCGACCGTCCGCATACCGCCGCGAACAAGGAAGGTGTCGCCCTTCCGTAGAGGCCGGTAAGCTAGTCACCCAAGAGTTAGCATTTATCGGCGCAAGCAATATCAAGGGACGTACCCTCGAGGAAGTAGGGCTTGAGATATACATCGAAGATGTTGCCACTCAGACCTTCGACGGAGTCATCGAAGGGCAGAATGTGAACGCGCTTGCCGTACTTGATGTCGAGGCAGGGGTGGACATTGACCATGTCACCGAGCTTTACGCGGAGGTTGTTACGTGCGACTTTGTTCATCTGGATCTTGCCCTCCTCGACATCGTCGGAGCTCAAGCAGATGAGAACAGTGTCGTGCCGCTTCTTCCCCCTGCATGCAATCTTGTCAGCCACAAATTACAAGTGGGCGTGCACGGAGCACTTACCGGACGATGATCGTATCTCCGCGGAAGAGCTGGAGCGTCTCCATCGTTGCCGGGTTGAGAGTGGCGACTGGAATCCCCGTCAGCTCTTCGCGTCTTGTTTACGTTGTAGCATAGTTGTTACTTACCAGAGTTGTCGTCGGAAGTCGCCTCATCGACAATCAGACGGTTGGGCCTAGAGGAAACGGTCATCGACTGACACCAATCAGTGAGACTGTAGCACCTACGATTTCTTCGTCCTGAGGATCGCGGTGCTAGTATCATCGTCGCCGGCGGGGATTGCACCACTAGGGTCAGCCATGTCGTTCAGTGTCGTGAGGGTGGTGGTGGAAGGAGTGAGCAAACGAGACCGAGGACAAGCTTATGAGGTTTGGGGACAAGGACGACGCGCGTCCCCCCTACATTACTCGACGCGTCACTCTCGGGGGCGTGGGAATAAAACCGGACTTCCGGATGCTTCGAGTGCAATCTCACGGCGCCAAATGGAGCAATACTTTCCTATGCGAGCTACAAATCTCCGGCGCGAAGTTGTTCTCCGGGCTCGCGCTGACTGAGAAGCTCAAACGCTCGACCGGTCTGAATAACCACTGCGTAGTACGACAGCGCTGCGGTAGCACTGGTACTTCGTGCAGCGCGCACAATGTATATATAGTGTCTTACAATTACAATCATCGACGAACGCGAAGACCGACACAGTCAGAGAATGCTCAAGCAGAAGCCTCCCTCGCGAGGGTACAACTCGGATGCGTTCATCTATGCATAAGTTCAGTCAAACGGGGACAAAGAAAGCAAAGGCCTGGCGCTCACATTACATCTCCTCGTCGTCAAAGTTGATTTCTTCCACCGGGAAGTCGCCGACTTTGACCCTCTCGGGCTTGACGAACACGCCGCTGTTTGGTGGACACTCGAAGTACTTCTTGCCCTTGACGCTACAGAGCATTCAGCATCGATGCGAAATATCCGACACCATAACGTCACTTACGATCCGTCATTCTTGCCTATGGGTTCGTCATACTCGATCCCCACCCACACGCCCTTGGCGAATTCGGTCGGTCCAACAAACCTAATCGTACCGCGCTTGCGGAAGTCTTCCTCAGTCGACTCGACTTCGCAACGCGCGCCGATCGGGAAGTCCACGGTCTCCGGCTCCTTGATCTCCTCCTCAGGCTTGTCTGCGAAACGTCCGATCTTGTTGCGCTGCTTATATGCGAGCACAGTGTCTACATTCTGGTCAAATTACAGCCATGCGCATGACAGGCGTGTGCTCTTACCTTGTCTTTGAGCATACTCCGTCGCGGTCAGCTCGAATTTGTCAACTTGGGACGTGTCGTGAAGTTGCCCAGTAAGCGAGGTAGCAGGATTCAAATCATTCACCTGCGTCCGTCCCACAGAAGCATATAGTACACGGTTTCGCAGCGACTGACTGTTCGACTTACCATCAGCACTTGCCAGTCGCGGATTCCGTAGTAACCCAAGGGCTTGCTATCGTCCGCGAGGACCCCCAGCGATTCGGGTGCATCTTCAGATGCCTGAACAGAGATCTCTTGATTCGGAACGGGTATGCCTGTGATGAGTTCAAGCTTATTCTGTATACATTTACGCGCAGAAGGTCACTATCGCCACATGTTCGATGTAAGGTAGAGCTGACCTTTAGCTGCCCGATTGTCAAGCTAAGATCAAACCGTCTCTCTGACCGAGTGTCGGGAGAGCGGACGAAGACGTTGACTGTACTGCGCAGGTGAATGTCAGCGGTGTGAAAGACAGAGCAGGCAATCAGAAGATGGACTTGCATTGGCTGAGATGATGGCCTCATATTTGGTAGTTCTGTGCCAGACCGATAGCTACTGAATGTACACGAATTGCTTCGCGAGAGGATGTGGCTGAAGACCAAGAGGCAGGAGAGTTCCAACTGCCAAATCGCGCCCTGTGGCGCATCAAATCCGGCTTGACGCCGCCACGGCGCGCAACTCGCCTCGGCCAGTGGGCCGGCCACCGACTCACCGACTCCCGAGACCGCCATGCATATGACCACCACCTCCTCGCGGCTTGCTATTCAGAGTCCCACCTTTCTCTTCTCATCTCCTCATCATATCAACTGAAGAGAAGGTGTGGGCGCGATGTTTCGGACGAGTCTTTCAAGTCTGCGTGCGGTTCCGGTACGCGCACCGCGGCTAGTTCGCCACTCCTCTATCCGCGTGAGCACATTTCAGTTCGTATCGGCGGTGCTCGCATGCTTGCTTACAGTACGATGGCTCTTTGCTTGAATGTGTAGGCTCTGATGGATAGATTCAAGGACCCTACCTCCCCGTTCCACCTCCCGCCGGGTACACAAGGTCCTGACTCTCCCGACCCTCTACCGGAGGAAGTCTCTCCTGCGGACGAAGGGCGCGCAACGTTGGCCGCGCTTGGCTATGACCCAGATAGTTTCTGGGAGCAGCCTGTGGTATGGGGAGATCATGACAGCTTCCAGTGCGTTACACTGCTTGTCCGCTATGTCCCTGGCTTACCAATCCCACTACAGGCACGTTAACAACGTTCGATACCGTGCGTTAATTCCTTTGGCTATGCGCAACCTGCAATATCCTCAAATTCTGACTGTGCGTGCGGTTCACAGTCCGCTTCTTCGAGTCCGGTCGCATACACTGGATGCGCGCCCTCGGCGCCGAACTCGGTGGACCCGCAAGAGCCGACGCCATGATCAAGGGCAAAGGCGTCTCGCTCATCCTCAAGTCCGTCTCCCTCGAATACAGACGTCCTGTCGTATTCCCGGACACCCTCTTGGTCGCGCACAAGCCGCATCCCGGGCCGCTCTATACCTCGTCCAAAGTCGACAGCCCCGAGGTCAGGACGCGGCGGCAGGCGAAGACGCACTTTCACGTCATGGGCGCGATCTGGTCTTACGCGCAGCGGAAGATCGTGACGGAGTCCGACTCGGTTCTCGTTTGGTACGACTACGACAAGCTGGCGAAGTGCGACCCGGGCGAGGAAGCGAGGGCAGTCATTCAGCGGAGGATGAACCTGGCCAAGGCTCAAGACTCCTCTTAGGAGGCGCTCGGTGGCTGTCATGCAGAGTATCCGATGCAATGCGAGCGGGGCGACACGGGCGTTTTAGCCCTTGTAGAAGTCATAGTAATTCACGCTGAGTTCTTTTAATATCGGTCCGTGTCATTGACGCGCTTCTACAGCGACACGTAACATCCTTTGCACGTTAGCACTCATTACGTGGCCGTCAGTGTGCTTATGTGGTTCCCGTCGCAAGGAAAACGGAAGGCAACCACACGCAACTTCCATGAGGATAACTTGGAGATGGTGCAGTGCTCTATCGGCATCGCTCGCCGACCCCGAGTTCTCGACACCCTCCCGGGGTCCATCCTCTGAAACGTAGCGGCGGGATCTCGCTCTGTTGGCCACACCGCGTGAAGTGCATCCGACGGCCCTGTCTCGGCTCCTCAAGTGTTCGCTGCCTGGCCTCTACATCGTCTCTGCGAAGTCATCAGTGGGAGCTTGGCTGGACCTCATTTGGACCATTGAATATGGGAACCCACGGTCTTCAACTCCAAACTCTCTCCAAACATCAACGTTTCGCGTAAGATGAGTCGGGCCCCTCTGGCGCCTTCGGGCCGCCTCGCGATTGCATTGAAGATGCTCCCGAGTTCCGAACCCTGGAGCACATCCGGATCGGCACCGTCCTCGCGCGCCAGACATGGCACTCTCGTTAATTTCTCCGTCATACCGCCGCTTGTGCGTCGGATGTTTGTCCGCTGAATATGGCCCACCTACCGTCTTGTCTCGCCCGGTATAGTTTCCTACACGCGCGTCGACACATGATAACTCGCGCGCTCACCTTCTGCCTGTGTTTTGACAGTGTTCAAGATGGCACATATCTATGTATGTGATGTGATGTCTGAAAGTCACTACAGAACGATTGGTGAAGTTGAAATGGTGGTTTGCGTGCCTATGTCGCGCCTGGCGTGTGGAAAGGCTGAGAAGTACCTCGAACGTGACGCAATGCGATGGACTGTTTTCTAGGCCTCTCGCTGTGCAACCGTACGGCTCAACCTTGGTGGCGCAGTCCGTCCTGGGAGATGACCGAACCGTTCACCGGCTTTCAGGCCAGGGAGCCAAGCGAGCGCGGAGGCGGTGCCGGACGGGTGTGGCGGTCGAGGCTCTCGCGGGATCCGCCGAGAGCGCCATGGCCTAGATCGAGAGCGGCCCAGGCTGCGTCTATCCACCGCCCTGTTATTCCTTGTTGGTGTCCGTTTGTGCCTCTTCCACCATCCCCGTCCTTCCGGGGCCTCGTCGGCGAGCAGTTAAATCACAGCGTAATCCAAGTAACGCGGTCAGGAAGCCATAGATGAGTAAATATATGACCGGCAGACCGGAAAATCGCAGGGGAAAATTCATGCTGTTGCCTGAGCCCCGAAGATGCCGCCTAGAACGCCGGCACACGCATGTAGCTTTGCGGAATGGGACCACCCACCCAGCCCAGACTCGCTCAAAGCGGTGCGCATTTGCCCCTTGCCGGGCCTTGCCCCATGACTGCGCGCATTCCGCGGACGCGAAATGAGTCGTGTTTGGCAACTGCCTCTTGCATACTGCTCGCCGGTCAGTCTGGATCGCGAACTTGATACGAGTCCCGCCAAGTTACGGAGACCCCCGCATCCTGCGTCTGCCGCGCATGCTCGGGATGTATAAAAGCTGATTCTCTGGGCCTCCCAGCGGGTCGTCATCCTGCGTGCCCAGCGCCAACAACATTCAAGCCATCCACTATCCACTCATCCGACTCTCTGCCACCTCCTATGCCGACGTGCATAGTCTGCCTCGAGACGCTCAAGAATCCTGCTGCCCTTCCCTGCGGTGAGTAGCCTCCTTGTGCCTCGCGGATGATGACTCATCTTCCGGACGTTACTAGGGCATGTATTTTGCTACGACTGCGTGATCCGCCTCGTGCGCTCTGTCAACCCGTACACCCCCAACCACTTCTGCCCAACCTGCAAGCAACCATATACCATCCGTCAGTCCTCCTACTCCCCACAGCTCCCACATCCCTCTTACGCGGCCGCACCACAGTCAACGTCGATCCCAACCTTATTCCCCACCATCTCCGCCACCATGTCACTCCGGCCGTGCGCAAGCTCAACCTGGAGTACGCCGTCCCGCTTCCCATGAAGACATCCGCCACCAACGCCGAGTGCGCGCATCTCCTCGCCGAGAATGCATCCCTGAAGAACTGCTGTGTCGTCTGGCGCAAGCGCGCAGCGGTCCACGCCACCGCTACCATGGCGTTTGTCGGCCTCGCACGGCTTGCGCGCGACTACGGCATGAAGATGAAGAAGGAGCGCGACGAGCTCGAAGAGAAATACAACGAGCTAAAACGGCTCTACGACGAAAAGACGTAAGCACCATCTCTCATGCCACCCTAAAATGGGCCGGAATACTCACAAAGTTTCTAGGAGTGCCCCCGATACCCCGCCCGAATCCCCATCGTGCCCGCCCTCTCCCCGCTCCGCCGAACTGCGCGCAAGCACGCCCCCGCTTCTGCACCCCGAGCCCTGCGAGGCGGGGCTGCTCCCGAGCATCGCGCGCTCCGCCGACACGCACCGGCCGCTCTCGCGCACGCTCTACCGGCTCTCTTCTCCCGCGCTGAGCGACGAGAGCTTCTGCTCGGAGTGCCCAGACTGCGTCGACCGGAAGCGGAAGCACGCATCCGAGGACGCCGACGACGAGACTCCAGAGCGGCCCATCAAGCGGTCGCACTCGATGTCGCCCACCCTCGCGCCTATCTCTACGAGCCCAGACGGGGTCGCGATCGCGAGCTATCTGGAGGGCTCGCTCACGCTCTGACGGCATGCATGTGCGCGGGCGCCGTCTACACTCGATCGTCTTTTCCTGCTGTTACTTTATTTCTTCCCTCCCGGGCGTCGCGCAACATACACGTGCGCGGCGCCCCCTCAAGATACCCTACACGAGTGTATAATCGACCCCACCATCAACATAATTTCTCCTCATCGCCTCGTACATCTTCGCTGTTGTATATCAGACCCCTCGCTACCACCCACCCAGCTCCGTCATCGCTCTTAAAGTCCCCTCCGCGCCTCCGATGTTTTCGATGTATCATCACCGTGTATAAAAACAGAGCCCTCTGCGCCTTGTATCTCTCGCAAAATGCAACATTGAAGCTATACATGAATTTGTGTCCAAGATTTGTGTCCGTCGACCAGCGGTTATTTTCAGCCGCCGGCGTCACGGACGGTCTTCAGGGTTCTGGGCCCGTCAACGACCGTTCTCTTTCGTACCACCACCATTAGGTGGGCTCGGCCTCGACGTCCAGACTAACGAAGCAAGCTACGATTATATCCTGAGTCTCGAATCAAAGATTATATATTCTTCGATTTTTGAGCATGCATGCCACTGACGACGTCATCATGCAGGCCCTGACCTAAAACGTGGGAACAGGAAGTGCGATCGACAACATACCTTCGAGTGCCTTGGCTCGAAGGCGTTGGTCATCTACTGCACTGCCCACACTCGTCATGCCCGGTGACGCACTTGCTCCAGCTGCTAGGCTTGGGAGTAGTGCTATCTATCTATAAAGCCTGTCGGTGTCGGGGCCTCCGTTTCCACCACACTCCCAACTCCACCCCCACCATGAATCTGTTCGGAAAATCCAGCACGCTCTCCGAAGACCCGGAAATCCGCCAGGTTGAGAAGTCGATCGCACAGGAGGCCCGCGAGGACCAGAAGAACCTCGATCGCAATATCAAAGCTCTCTCCGGCGCCGAAAAGTGTCATCACAAGAGCATCAGGGTGTGTACAACTTTGAGCGGGAACCAGACCTCGCCGCTTCCCTAGTGCGCGTACACTTACAGGTATCTGTGGTGTTCTTTGCAGGCGACAGCCAAGGCGCAGCAGGCAGTCGACAAAGCCGTCGAGACCGAATATGAGGCTACGAAGGCGCTCAACCGTGCCGCCCACGATCGCGATGCAGCAATCGCTAATGAAGCGACCGCAGAGAAGAGTGTGAAGGTGAGTGAAGCCTTCCCAGCGTGACCACTCCGCTCCTGACGCACCTGCATCGCTATAGATCAAGCAGGAGCACGAGGCCCGACTCGAGCAGGACCTCGAGAAGAGGCGCGTCCACCTGGACGAACAGCAGCAGCGCAAGGCGCAAAACGACGTGCGTGCTCTAGACTTCGGCCATACCAGTGTCGCTTTGCATCACATGTTCTGTATGCTGAAAGGTATGCGCTCATACAGCAATCGCGCGAGTCACGACTTTCGCATGTACACGCGCAGGCCGCCGCCGCCGCCGAGTCGCGCAGCGCAAGCCTCGACACAGCAGCAGGCCAGTATGGACGCGCCGGAGACGTGTCCGAGGTACCCCGTGCCACCGACCCTAGGACAACTACACCCGCCGCTTCGCCGCCCATTGGTCCTGGAGACCCTGCGAAGATCGAGAGACCGGCCAATAATGGGGGCGTGTACGATTCCGACGCCGACTTCCGCACTTTTATGTGACTTGCCAATATATACCCCCGGGGGATCTTTGAGACCAATAGTGAACTAGTGGACTTGAACTTTACGCGATCGCGGTACAGTGCCTCTTTTTAAGCACGGTTCATACACCCTGACGACATATCGCCTCCTAGTCGTCTCGTTTGTCTGTCGTCCCAGCAAGGTATGGCACGCCATCGTCTACCACATATTCTGCTCGCAATTTGACTTTCGTGGACACACATGCCCCCCTCAGGAGCGTAACAATCCTCACAGTTTTATGCACATGTCTCCGCCGCGGCCGAATCGCGTAGCGCAAAGAGCTCAATATGAACACGCTGAGCGCATGAACTAGCCAAGCACTTGATGCCTTCCATACAGCCTAAGGCTAGCAGCTTGTCTACTACTACAGCGCTCGGTACTGCATACGATCCTGCAAATATCGAGAGACAGGTCAGTAGTGGGGGCGTACTCGACTCTAATGCCGAATTTCGCACCTCTATATGTTTCAGAAATGTACCTAGATAGCATCAATAGAAGCGGCACACCCATCCCCTTTAGGCTATCGTGCACATTTATCATACAACTCAAACGACATTCTCCACTCTGGATTCTGGATAACACGTCCTGACCGCATAGCTCATCCCAACCCGCGAGCGTCCGAAGGTATGTTTCCCCCATCGCCTCACTTGCCCGTGGTCCCAGCAAGGAAACGCACGCCCTCGCCATCCGTGACCGCGATGATCTGCGCGCGATTTGACTTCGTGAGCACCCCGACCGCCCTGCGCAGGATCGGCAGCGGGATGTCCGAGAGCGGCGACGGCACCGGCGGCTCCACGATCTCGTAGAACGTCATGATCGTGTTCATCTGCCCCGTCGTGTTTGCCTGCGAAAGCGCCCCACCGTGATAAGCTAGCCGGAACGCTGAAAAAAAAGAGACAAAAGCATACCCAGTCGTAGAGGACCTGCGCCCACTCTTCCGCGGAGCGCCAGTAGAGCAGCACAGACGACGTCTGCTTCGGTGGTTCGTACACCGCGTGGCCCTTGGCGACCATGTCCGCGAGTATCGCGCTCAGATGCGAGGAAAGCAACCGTCCTGCCCCGTACGCGAACAGTCGATTAGCATACACGACTCCAAGACTTCCCGGAGCAGGATACACGACGCACGGTTGATCCGCGGGTTGCGGAGGATCTCGTCCCACGCGCCGCCCGCGACGTCCGCGTCCTCCGCGCGCAGCGCGAAGAGATTCCGGTGCCGCGCGTACGAGAGAATGAGCTGCGTCCAGTGCTGCGTCACTGTCGCCTGCGTTGCGGGGTTTGGCTGCTTCCTAGGGAGAAGCGAATGTCAGCGTGGTCATCTCGATGTAATGCGGGGCGTAGGGGGAGACTCCTACGTGAAGAACGGCGGGGCGGCGTGGATGGACGGGAGGAGAAAGCCTGGCGGTTGTAGAACGTTAAACTCCAGGTCTGACGTATTTCACGCGCGAATTGCCCACCGGATGATGTCTTGTGTGTAGAGAACGACATATATAACACAGCGCTGAGTCGAAGTTGGTCGTAAGTACGCGAGCAGCCCTATCGCACTAGTACTGGATGCGGCAAAGGTGTGGCTGTGATCTTCTGAGTTTGAGAGTTCAAGCGGACGCGTCGGAGGAAGCTTATCGTGCACCCCTATCCGGTTGTTTGTCGTCGTGGGCCCACACAGCGAAGGTCGACGCCGCCGTCGGAGATCACTGGGAAGGGCGGTGGAGGGCGAAAACTGGTGTATGGCAAGCCGCAACAGTCAATCGCGCTCCCTCTTGTGTGCTAGGCGCCCGCGCGAACGGCTATCCACGCCGGTATGCGACTGGCGAAGGCCACGACGATCTTATTCGCGACTCCGCGGTAGGATAGACCACAACTACACTAGTACAAACACGCAATACGCGCTACAGCCCTCAAAATACGTGCCGTATGTGCCAACAACTCATTCGGCTCACAGTATCAGCACACTTCGCTGCGATTATCGTAGATATCTGCCCGAACGTGGCGAGGCACCATGCCGTCTGAGGGCTCGGAATCGGCCGCCTCGTTCTCTCGGTCGGAGTGCCCTAGAAAGTAAATGGATTGCGCGTTCTCCAATTACCACGACCGTTGGGCTTGTACAGGCGCAGGCCAGGCTTCTGGCCATCCAAATGCAACACCGCAGATCGCGCACCTCGAGTGCAATACTGCCCGCACGCCACGCTACGAGCACGCTTCTGATGCGCTCTGAGTGGTCTGTCTTGGATGCAATGTGCCCACGTAGCCTGGCAGAGCATGAGTAGCAGCAACACGTCGCAAGAATACAGACTTACCGAAGAAAGCGAAGAAGCCGTCCGACGGCGGTTTTCCGCGGCACGGGTCTGCAAGATCCATTACAGCGGCAAAGGGCGAGCGAACCCAAAGCACGGAGGTGCGGGCAGAGCCATCGTGTCGTTCACTGGGTCTGCGGAGGAAGACACGCCGAGTCCGTAAGTCGGGCGCATCAGCTTCGGATGATGCAATCTAGGGGGGGTTCTGAGGACCTGAAATGGTGGCCCATTCCGGCGATGCGCTACGAGTCTCGAGAATCCTGGGGGACCCTAGCCCACGCGCTGCGGGTTCTCGGGAGAGCGCTGCTGGGCCGAGAGGGGTGGCGTTGATCGATGGAAGGCGTCCGTTGCATTGGAGGCGACCGAGGGTGTGCTCCGAGTCCTGGTAGCAGTAGCGAGAGACGATGGACGCGGGAGGCAACGGGGAGCCAGCATGTGCTCGCCGACAGTGCGGAAAGGACCGCGGTGTGAAGGAGGGTCGAAAGCGGCGAGTTCGCAGATGAGCGTTAGGAGGAAGCTGGCCAGGGCCCGGGAGGAGGAGGTGACAGCATCGCCCGGGGTGGGGCCGCGCCAAGCTGTGGGTCCCTGTCGCGGCGGCGCATGGGTGTGCCGGTGGCGATGTGGGTCGTATCTATATATTCTGCCAACCAGCTCATCTCTCAGCTCCGCTCGCCAACTCGTCGGGCATCCCGCTCACCGGTGCTCGTCCTTGCGCAATCCCCACCTTGACTCCTCCCTGCTCGACGCCCTTCTCTGCCGTCATATCGTCCATCGACCCTGACCTGCGCCGTTCGGCACCACTAGCGACGATGCAGTGCGAACATATGGTGCGCGTATCTTCCACCTGCCCCCTCCCGCCATGCACTTCTCCACCGCGCATCATCACCTGCGTAGAGGTATGAACTCTCTGCCCCGCCGCTCTGTCGTCGGCGTGAAGCACCGCCCAGAGTTTGGCCTGGTACAACGTGTTCGTCGCGGATGCTCAGCTTGTCTGCAATTGCAGCAGCACAACAACCGGCCACCTCTTTGCCAGGTGCCGCCTCTGGTGTGCCATATGCCTTCTCAGCCACCTCTGACATCCCCCATGCGTGGGCTCAGTAAACGAGTCGCACGCATGGATATGATGGCTATAGCCGTGACCTGCGTCTTCCACAGGACGCGCAGTTTAGTCACCCCATACTGCGTGTGCATCCCGTCTCTGACAAGTGAACACCACGTCCCATAGCCTGCCCTAGCTTTGATCAGGCTGGGCAGGTAATGAGCATGGTGATGTCGCGATTTATTTTGAAGACGTTTTCTTCCGGGTGCGGGGTGCTACCGCGACGCGCGCCGGGTCGCATCGTGGAGACGCACATGGTATACACGCCAGAACATCGCATCTCAGAGAAAGGGCATCGATATCAAGCTCACCGTGGCATAGCGCGTATGTCATTGTGCGCACAACTGAACTCTGGGTGCGGCCCGCCCTTGAGGCAGGACAGTTTCAAGAGCACATAGGTGCTGTCCCCGCGTATCATTGCCAGACGATGGTGAACCTGCGAGGCTTCTAGTTTTGGCGTATGAGTGGTCGGCAGTGGACCAGACCGTGCAGGCCTCGGTGTTGATATGCGGTCATCGCGCTCTGGGTGCAGCGTAGCGGCGGTTTTAGCAACATTTGGCAGCGACCGGGCGGCCCCTTCGTCAGCAGCAGATGAAGACGTCTGTGTTGCGTTGCGTTGGAGGTCGAAGCAAGTCCGCTTGCTAAGTGGGGCGTTGTGTGGGGAGGCGGAGGCTGTCCTCGGTGGAGTGTGCCTCCCGATTTAGCCATTACGCCATTCCATCCCCCCGCTTGGTATCTTCAGCCACTTACGCACACCATCCACTCGCTTCTGCCCCTCTTCCCGCTCAACACCGTTGTGCATATGTCCTGACCTTCGGCTTTCTGCTGCAGGTATTCTCGAGCGGGGTACCTCTACTCCGAAGGCCGTCCTCCCTCACCCTCTACCGGGCGCTCGGCCACAGGATCCTCCTGTCCACCTTGCTGCCGGACGGCTGAACTTTCCCACTTAGTATTCGCCGTCCCCGATTTTTGGCTCGTACGTCCATCATCCTCACAAGTGGTCGCTCGACGACTCAGATCGCGCCACCGCCTGCAGGCCACCCGAGAGTTGGAGAACTTTGCGGCGCGAAGGTATCATGACAGCGAGCGTGTCGACCCCAGTACGTCTTTACGCGCCTTCTGACTGGCTCCGAGATGCGCTTGCGCATCCTCTGCAGAAGAAATACTCTTATGGAGCAGGGTCCAGGAGCGCCGCAGGTCGCCGTCGCCATTCACGTCCTGGACGCTCGCGGCCTCATGCATGCGCCGCAGACGAACTCTTGCTCGTCGTACGTTTCGATCGACGAAGCCCGGCGGGAGCGTCTGTGCCGTTCATGGGACAGACACTCCTCCATTTACATGCACCCTGCTCAATGACCATGGACGTCCGTGCTTCCGCGCGGACTCACTGCAGCCGGCAATGTCGCAGCCCTGACGGCCCTCGATCGCGTTCGAACGGTTTACGTCCCTCTTCCCTGCATGTCAAACAAACGCATCTTCGCGCTGGATTCCGTCGTGCGAGGCACGCTCGTCTCGGGGCTCCTTCGATACTCTGGCGGCCGAACGCAAGGCCGCCGACGAGCACTGACCACCGCTCCTTGAGGCCTCTGGACCCCTTCTGCTCCCTGCGCCCCATCTCAAGCCCGGCAAGCGCCAAGCGCAACGTTTGCCGCAACGCGCCCCAGCACTACGCGAGGTCGGTGCGCCGGCGTAACGCAAACCGGCCAAGTCCACCCAGGGTCCCCTGCGCGCGTCTCATCTTCACGCCGTCGAATTCGTGCCTTGCGCCGCCGCGTTGTGTCCAAACCCTCGCCAGACACCAACACCCCGGGCTCCCGTTGTACGGAGTCGCCCATGTCCGCACACCGCACACAGCCCTCCGTCCGCACATGTCCCTTCTGGCCGACCAGTTCACACCTCCCGGATATAGCGCGTGCGCGTTGCCGGCAACGCGCACCCGTGCACCTCACCGTTACGTGAGGCTGAGACGCATCGCCCGGCCGCGGGGCCTATCGCGCGCGCCGCGACCCTGCATTCGGCCCGGGGCGAGTGATCGATGTGCAGTCTATTTCGCCCCGGTGGGCTGTACCCTGGTGAACTCTATCTGGCCCGGATGGGCGATAGGTCTTTCTGAGCGGCCCGGCACGAATCTTCATGTAGTCTCGCTGTTTGCGATGTGTAGTGATCCTTGCTGGTATAATGTGAAGCTATATGTTGGCAGCCCTACGGTGTGTGTCAATGCCGCATGGTCTGACTGAGAAGACATGTCGAAAAGAGTCGGCTCCTGGATGTATTGTATCAGATGGTCGCGTCTGCACGCGGTGCTGAGTCGGGGCGCAGCATAATATCGGTGCGTTGTGAGCCGGCGCACATGCGTCGAAGCAGAGGCCATGTTGTCCAGCCAGGGTTCGCGAATAGGTGTAAGATACAGTGCCAGATGTTTGTGCAGTGGAACGCGAGCCGCTGCGCGGCGATATAAATACACGCTGGAAAGTTGATCGAGCTCGTCGCGAAAGCGAAGGCGGACTCCCCGAAGCAGAAGTGTACACTGTTTGGGTCTGTGGCGCGGGGCCACCTGGCTCGCAACCTTGGTGCGTCTCAGATCGAACTAAGACTGTGGACGTCGCGCTTCTGCCGCACACCCAAGAATACATGGTTCGGCGGCGCGCACTCGCTACTATACACAGGCGTCGTAAAAACCGAGCGATAGCTTCGAATTAGATAGTTGAAATACTCATAATGCTTCGCGAATCCACGCAACAACAGAAAACACGCGATGGACCTGGGCACCGAGGAGACGGCGGGGCTATTACTCGCTCTCGTCGCCCAGGAATGCCATTATACTTTGTCGGGCGGTCTAGAAGCACGGTACGATGTCGTCAGGGTTGTGTGGTGGAAATGAATGCGAGCACCGACCTTGCGCTTAGGGACGACCTCGATCTCCGATTCCTCTTCATTGTCGCTCACGGCATCCTTCTTCCGACGGCTCGCTGACGGGCCCGATTTGATCTTGCTCGCGAACTCCTGGACGTCCTCTGTAGCTAATTGTGAGCGCTGCACGCAAGGGACGTCATGTATGATCCGCACCGAGTTCCTGTTCGAACTCCCGCTTCGCCTTGATAGCCTTGGCCTGCTCTAGGCTCATGCGCCCACTCATACCGAGATCGGTGAGCATCTTCTTCAGCCGTCGTATTTGGTCCGCGGGCTTCTCGACGTCCTTGAACTCCTTGGCCCAGACCTTGCGCACCCCACAGGCGACCACGAGCGACTAGAACGGCCGCTGAAACGTTAACGAAGAGTGCGTGTGACGTGGAGTCACGATATGCCGACCTTGAGCCTCTTCACAGTCTCTTCGTCCTTGGTGAGCTCCTTTCCGGCGGTCTCGCCCCGCTTCTTGCCTTTCGGTGCCTTAGCCTTCTACAATTATCTGGTCAGCGCATGGCAGCGAACGCAGCGAGCGACGGTGTTTACGGCTGGTTCCTGCGGAAGGGCCCATAGTGAGTAAAAGCTAACCGAGCACGCCCTCGCGCACACTCACCCCGCTCTCGCCCTTGCGTTTGCGCTTCCGAACGGGCGTTTCGTCGATCAACACAGACATCTCCGAGTCGCTCTTCTGCCGTGATGCACGCGGGTGAGCACCCTGCCCGCCAAGGCCGTCGGGGGACGCACCGGATCATCTTGCTTGCCGTCGCGCGCAGATTCACCACGACGATCTGCTGCTGGCTCCGCGGGAGAAGCGGCCTCTTCTCCATTGTGTGCGGCTACGGAGCCGCCGCTCGTGCGCGCGGAAGGTGGCTTCGAGAGCTTTGAGGGCTGATCGACGTTCGGGCCATAGGCGCGTTATTAGATTAGCGTGTTGTTTGGCGTTTGATGCACGGTTTACCTCAGAACCGCCCTCCTCGACGTGCTTCGTGCCCGCCGCGACCCGTGCCCGAGGCGTTGGCTTGCTGCTTGACGGACCCGCGGCCGTATCGCTCCCGGCGTCTTCATCGGAGCTAGGGACCACGGACTGTGCCGGCATCTCGATGAGTACACGTATATGGAGCGCGGATTTTAAACTTAGCACCGACCGCAGATCGAAAGGCGGATTTGCTGGCCTTCTTGCTCGAAGCCGCCGTCGCTGCGCTCTTCGCCCGCGACTTTCGGGGTTGCGCCTCTTTGGGTGCGGCTCCGGCGGATTTTCTCTTTTTCGCGGGTTTTTCTTCTTTCGGTGGCTCTTCTGGGGCTTCTTCTAGTTGGCTCTATATGACAGGGTCAATACATGCGGTTGGAGCGGCTGCTATCCCCGAGCTCACGATATACTCCTTCGCGACCGCGTGCACGATGTCCTTGAGCTCTCGGGCATCAAGGGTCCCGGGTTCTAGGGACAAAGCCTGTTCGACTTCCTTCCTGAACGTCCCGTAGGTGAACTCGCTGCAAAAATGCGGTGTTAACCACCCATTTTCGCAATGTGGCAACAGGACACACTTACTGCAATTTGTCCTCTTTGACGACCCCGGTGATGACCTCCAACGCTTTCTCGCGCAACAGCTGTTCATCTGGCACCATGCTGTATGTGTGCGTGATGTACGATGTCGAGTATTGTAGCGTGAGAGTCGTGGGCCGAGGTACCGCGTCGGAGCGTGTGGCAAGACGCGTCGCGCGTCTGCGGTGCGTCACGGGCGCGCCGTTTGGTCCTGTTTGGCCAAAGTGAGCGTCTCAGCGCTAGCGAGGGGGCGCTTAGTCTTGCCTCCTCCCTCCTCGGCCGCTCGGACATGTAGTGAGGATCGACTTGAGAAGGTCAAGCTGTAATTCCGGAAGATCTCAAAAGTATGACTGTGGGCGAACTTTGGAGGGCAATGAAGGCGTACATGGCTTGAAAGGGGCTCGCACTCGTGTTTGGGCAGGCTGCAAAAGGCTCTATTGGCTACATTCCGGATCAAGAGGTATCAAACCGCAAGACAGCAATACTACTACAGATTACAAGGGCAATACATAAAATAATACACTCATCGCTGATGCCGATGACATCGCGGCCGGCGAACCCTTACAGACAGAAACAACAGAAATGTTCCAACGGTGCGGTAAATGAGCGAGCCCCTCGAAGTTCATACCACGGAGGCTCTAGTGACTAAGGCTCTTCGGACTCGAGGGACCCCAGGGACGGGGAGCGACCTATAGGTCGCCCTTCTTCATGCCCATCGCGCGCAAGAAGCCCCGGACGTTCTTCACGGCCGGCTTCTTCGCTACGATCGTCGCGGCCTGCTCTCCACCACGCGGCGGCGCCGGCGAAGCAATCGGCTGCTGCGGCTGAGGTTGAGGCTGAGCAGAGTGCGTGCGTCTCGGCGCGTGTGCAGGGGCGAACGAGGACGCGAGGAAGTCGTCCCGGACACGGTCGGCGTCCAGTGGGTTCATCGGGCACTTGAACGCAGGGCTCGGCGGCGTGAGCGTGAGAGGTGCGGGTCGGCGACGCTGCTGCTTCGCCGCCAGCTGCCGCTCGCTGAGCTGCACGGCCTGCGGCGCGTGGTGGTGGGAAGTCGAGGTGGGAGAGGAGGGCACTGGGAATGCATCGAGCAGGAACTCGGGCTTGCGCAGGTGCTTGGCGGTGCGGCGGGTGCGCGCAGGGATGGCAAGCACGGACATGCCGGGCCGGCGCGCGCACGCGGGCGCGAGCGCGCTGCCGAAGCGCGCGAGGTCGTCCGCGCCCTCGTCCTCCGCGCGCATCGCGTAGCGCGGGTCGAGGTCGGAGTCCTGGCTGGACACGCTGCCGCGGCGCACATCACCGCCAGCGACGACCACGGACGCCTTGCGCGCGGCCTTCGTAGGCGAGCCGAAGCGCACCCAGCTGCCGTCCTCGCTCTCGCACCACTCGTCGTCGCCGCCGAGCAGGTGCGCGTACTCCCACTCCTCGTCCTGGTCGCGCCAGACGCCGCCCGCGCCGTCGCGGTACACGTCCGACACACCGACGAGGCGGCCGTCGCGCGTCATCTCGGTCGCGCCGCCGGCCCTGGCCTGCGCCTCGGCGAATCTCCGGATGTGATCCTCGATGGAGCCGCCATCGGCGAGCTGCGCGAGCGCGAGCTCCGTCGCGAGAGGGGGCGGGCGGAACTTCGCGTACTTGGACTTCTTCGACGCGCTCACTGCGGCGCTCTCCTGCGCCCGCGACGCTTTGGCGTGCGCGGACGACTTCTTCGCAGGGATAGACATGTTTAGGGGAGGGGAAGGGGGGCCACGCATGGTGATCGACTTGGAGCGGATGCGGCGCGTGGGTCTAAGAGCAGACAGGCTACGGAAGGACTTGAGTCCCTTTACAGGCCGCACGGGGCTGGAAGGGGAGCGAGGGGCGATGCGCTGCGGGCTCAGCGGCGGGCGGGTCTTGCTCGTGAAGACAGTAGCCGAGTGCGGTGTCTCTGGGAAGTGCACGAAGACCGACGTGTAGCCGACTGCGGTAAGGTCCGGCTTGAAGTCTTTAATGGATGGGGTGATGACGATGCGCGACGCAGCTGTCGGAGAGTCTGAAAAGCTGAGGAACGACGCGGAGTGCGGGGTGCCTGCGTTGACAGAAGGGCGCCGGGAGACGATACAAGGCGAACCGCCAGAGGAACGGCGGGCGCTAGAGATGGAAGAACGACGGCGCGGCGAGCGAGGGGCAGGAGAGCCGGGTTGGACTGCGGCAACCCACGCCGCTACAGCTGAGGTCGTAGCAGAACGGCGCCGAGGGTATGAGGGCGCGCAGGAAGGAAGCCTAGGGACTGGAGGAGACGGGAGAGGCTGCGTGGGGCGTTTCTTCTGCGGCGGCGGGTGGGCGAGGAACGAGTAGGCTGGGGCTTGAACTGGAGCGTTGACCGAGGTGTTGAAGGTGGAGTTGACGGAGACGACAGCGGACATGAATGGATTTCGAGGAGGCTGGGGCGTGGTGGAGGCGTCTTCGAGCAGGAGTCAGCACACGTCCAACGCAGCTTCAAATGGTACAAGAAATGCTTACAGGAGGCGAGGAGGGGCGTAACTGGTTCTAAAGGAGGTATTGAACTCGTGAAATTGAGCTTGGCTGAAGGTCGAATGCGAGTTGCTGAGTAGGGCTACAGAGGGTGGCAAGTCCCGGTAAAGTCGAGGCGGAGGCGTAGAGCGGCGGTGAGCAGAGCGAAGATTGGGCGGAGAGCACTAGACTAGCTGGTGATGGCTGTCCAGGTCGGCGCGGTGGTGCTTAAGAGCACAGAGTGGACAAAAGTGCGTCCACCTCGCCCCGGGTAGGGACAATTGGCCTCGGCTGGGGACATCAACATCGTCTATAAACACAGCCGGCGCCTATCCCGCCTCCGCCCAAAGTGCGTAAACGCGCGCCCACATACCGCGGGCCACGTGGACCCCTGGGACCCAGCACCGCTCATTGTGCCGCCTCTATTGTCTTTAGGTGGCCGCGTTGCCTAAACGGTGCCCCGGGGTCCCCGCAAAGTACAACGCCTGCCTTTTGCAGAACAAATCCACCGTCGTCAAAGACAATAAGATGGCCTCGCATGACCTGCCACACAGACTTCTGCCGCCCTATCACTGCCTATCGGTGTTCGTCGGCGGTGTGGTCAATGTTGGCACCGCACACCCCGCCACCCACGCAATTGTCTTGCACGACACTAGCGTTCGCGCGCCCGCCGCCTAGAGCAATGTAAGCTCACTAGAAACGGTGAACAGAACGCGCGAGGCGGATACTAGAGTTCCTAGTCCCACTCTTATTGTGTTTGGGCTTGCCGTCGGACCGACGTTACGCCTGTAGAGTCGCCTGCCATAATAAGCGTACTCGGGCCACGGCGCCAGGTATAGTGTGTCATTTATTCTTGAGTTGTGTCACTGGCCCGTTCCTAATATCTTACAGAGCAAGAGTGTTTGTCGTGAGAATAACCATCGTGGTAGCATAGGAACACGTAGTGATACAGCAACAAATAAGTTAGGCTGGCTAACAAGCAGCGTCGCGACCAGCGCCAGTGGAACGCGCTCGCGCGCTCACAACGCAAGCGCAGGAGCCTGAGTTTGCTGCTGCTCGCGCACGACCCGCGCGCTCTCCATGACCGCCTCTGCAAAGTCCGCAAACTCGGTCCGCGACGCCTTGCCCCTCTGCTCGCGCCGCGTGTCAACGGTGGAACGTGTTCTGCCACGTGCGGACGAACCTTCAGCGCGTACACGACCACGCGTTCTTGCTGTGTGTCCTCCGCAGGCTCCATGAGCGCGACGCGGAGCTGGCCTTGCGCCTCGTCAAACGAGCAACGTACGAGTGGGCGCAGGCGGACGTTCATCGACACCTTCATCACCGGCTCGCGGCGGAACACTGCCAGCCGTCGTTCAGCATGTCGTTCCGCTGTCCCAAGGGGGAACAAGACGTGGGGAAGATGACGCACGGATCCGCTCGTGCCCGGTCTCCTTGTGCTTGAGTAGCTTCACGGTGCCCATGATGCCTTCACAGAAGTCGCGCTCGCCGCGCTTGATGAACACCTTCGAGCCTTTAAGCTCGGCAACGGCCTCCTCGTCCTCTTCTCCCGTTACGGCTAGTTGCACGTGTGCGGTGGTCAGCGATGGTGCGCTGTCTTCCTGCGGTGGAACTCGAGCTTGCAGCCCTACGTACTGGTTTGCGTACTCGTCGCGTATGACAGCGCCGCCAAAGGGTCGGAGGTCATCGCCGCGGAGGTGGTAGCATTGGCAGATGTCGACCACACAGGGCAGCCGGGGGACAAGCCAGCGGTAGCGCTTGAAAAGGCAGATGGGCTACCCGAGAAGGCTTGGAACGCAGAGGACGGCTTGGCCTTCGACGACGTCTTGTCAGCGCCCATTCCGATCGTGGACTCCGGGTGAACTCACTGCGATAATGGCGCTGGGAGTGCTGGGCCACACTGGCGCTCGAAGAGCGAAGGGCGGCTTCGCAATAGGAGCAATAGGCAAAGGGGATACCGCAGGAGGGGGAGAGCTTGGCGAGACAGGGGGCTCCGCGGCGGGGGACTGAGAGGACAAGGCAGGGGATTGCACTCAGTGAACGTCCAGCAACCCGCGCGGTGATTGAGAAGACACACATCGTGGGGTTCAGACACGGAAGCGCTGCCAGCTGCGTCTGTCTGCATGCCTGCCTGGGCTTCAATATCGGCAGACGCTTGCGTCACATCGGTGCAAGCAGCACCCAGTGATTGCGGGACGATCTCCTCTATTTTGATGGGCGCATCGGCGTGTTCTTCAGATTCTGACGTCTTGAGCCGCTTTGGTGACGAATCCTCAGGGTGCTGCAGCAGTCCAATCAGCGCCCCGCGGGCCTTTGCGCGGGAGTCCGCGAACTTACAGGGACCGACGGGGAGGCGGAGCGCTTCCGTTTGAGGGAGCCTTCTTCGACTTCATCTAAAAACTGTATAGGCTCTTGGTCAATGCAGTGTGCTCCAGAGCGGGAAGAAAGGCACGGGCGGGATGTGGAAGAGCCGTGCACGGCGCCTCAGGTGGAAGGTTTGAGGAACCCTGCGACACTTACGTTCTCCTGGCCAGCAGGGAGGGGCGTGCTGCACTCTGACGGTGGCGGCTCAGTCCCGTCGCGTTCTGTGACGCCAACACTAGCGGCGCGGGCGCTCGCGGAGCTGTTCCTGCGATGGAACTTGAAGAAATGAAAGCGGCTTTTGGCCCGGTCGAATTCGGTCGGCCTGTCGGGCGCCAGGAGGACACGCAGAAGATCCAGGCCCAAAGGCAGCAGGATGGACCAGCAGGGTGAGCGAGATCCCACGTTCCGGTCGACAAGGTGCATACCCATTCGCACCGCGGGTGCGCCCGCGAGAAATTCTGTAGCCGACTGCAGCCGAGACGGTGGCAAGGGCGCAGGCTACGAAATTGAAGTCGTTCAGCGGGAACATTGTAGAGCTGTAGCTTCCAGAGAGGGCGCGAACGAGGTTTATCGCAGACGAGATGGTAGGAAGAGTGAAACCGCGTCAATGTGCTTGTCGCCGGTTTATAACGTGGACTGTTCTGTGTACCTCGCCGCCGACATGAGGCGTGCAGTTAGCACAACACGTGTAGGGCTCATCAGGACTATCGGGCGACTGGGTCAGCTGAGTGCGCGCGCGTCGAGTCAAGGCGGGAGCGGACGTCGAGCCTGAGCATGTTGCACAACCTCGGAGAAGTGTTTGAACGAGTGGGTGCCCAGTGTTCTCATGGCCGGTGCAGAGTGAGTGGTGTGGCACCGAGGGCGCGGAGGAGATTGGCGTGAAACGTGTTCCTGTCTAAACGCCTGCTGGGAGGGCGTGGGAGAAACGGCGGTGGGAAAGTGCCATATATGGCAGAAGCAGACTCCCAGCAGCCGCGGCAGGGGTGCCACGTACACGAGCGTCGGACGAGTGAGAGCGGGAGGACGGCTGCTCTGCTCCCATCCACTGCCTTCGAGATGATACCCGCCCGCATGGGCTCGCAGGAGGGATATTTCGTGGGTAAATCGTCGTGTTGGACGGTCGCGATGCTCGTCGGCATCGCAGAGGACAGCACCGGGGCGGTGGGAAACGCCCAGCTCTCAATTGACCACGTCAGCCTGCGCCGGCCTGATTCCCCACGCGCACCGCGACGGTCGTATAAGGACCTCTCTCCGCCGTTTCGCCCACCATCCTAGGTCTGTCTGCATCCCCGCCCTCCTCTTGCCATCATGCAGCTGCACAATTGGCTCCCGCTCGTCATCGCCCTCACGCCTTCGCTGGCGTCGGCGGCCCTCTTCCCTAAAGACACCGTCGTCAAGATGATAGACGCGAAGGACTGGAAGAAAGTGATGAAGGAGAACGTGCGTACTGCTTCTTGATACTTCTGGCGTGCTATCTACGCGTCGCACTGCGTCTTCATGCCCGTCTGGCGCGTCAGAACTCCTGGACTGTCGCCGTCTAGGGGTTAAGCGCTTGTTCGTGCCTCCAGGAAATCATAGACTAATTCGAGTACTTCACAGTCCACCTCAGTAGTTGCGTTTGTCGCGCCATGGTGTGGGGTGAGTTTCATCTTCCACCAAGCCTTGCGTGTGCACGATCCTGACAGTCCATGTAGCACTGTCAGAAGATGGCGCCCGAGTTCAGCCAGGCCGCGCTTGGCGTCTACCCCATGATCCCGTTCTATGCCGTCGACTGCGACAAGCAGAGCAACAAGCGGCTATGCTCAGAGCAGGGCGTGTCCGGCTTCCCGACGCTCAAGGCATGTCTCCCGCGTTTCGCTTGACTCGGCGTCGCATTAACGCTTCCCTGTGACCCTAGCTATTTCCGCGCGGCAAGGACATGAAGCCTATTGACTTCGATTACCCAACTCGGACCGCGAGCGCATTCTACTACTGGGCTTCCCGGAACATCCCACACAATGTTAAGAAGGTCTACCACCTCGAAGACCTCCCCGCCTGGGTTAGCGAGGTACGCTTACGTCGCAGCGCTCCACAGCTTGGTCTTGACCCAACTCCATGTACAGAACATTGACAAGCCTCGCGCCCTGCTTCTCAACCAAGGCAAGGGCATTCCTCTCCTCTGGCAGACACTCGGCAACAAGTACAAGGGCCAAATCACCTTCGCCGTCCACCGTGACCGCTATGGGAAGAGTTCGCTTGAGATGGGTCTTGAGAAGGGTCCCGCGAAATCCTCCAAAGTCCTATACTACCCTCCGGGCGCCACGGATTACGTCCGCTACCACGGTGAGCGACGGGCTCTTCGACGCATCTCTTCGCTACATCAATCAATATGCTCATCGGTCTGCTTGCAGGTATTAACAAACACGACCCGCTCTCGAAGTTCTTCGACTCCATCCTCGATGGCACCCTCGATCTCGAGGCCCTCGCGAAAGAGGCTCCGCCCGTAGAGGTCGAGGAGGAGGACCAGGACGAGCGGGAAAAGGAGATCGAGCGCCAGCAGGAGGAGCAGCGGATGAAGCTCGCGCACGGCGGCTACAACGACATGATCGACTTCGAGGCGGCGCTGAAGGCGGGCATCAACCCGCACGCGCCCGGCGGTGCGAACGCCGAAATCCCCATGAAGAAGCCCAAGGCGGAGAAGGAGGAAGATCCCATCCACCGGATACTGAAGCACCAGGAGGAGGAAGCACGCAAGGAGGCCGAGCGGCCGAAGATGGCACAGACCGGCGACGGCGCCCAGATTGTGTTCGACCCCGCGGAGACCGGCCACCCAAAGACACCAGTCGCGGGCGAACCTGCGGCGACGCCGACGGAGGAGGCCGCCCCGGCTGAGACCGCTTCGGAGGAGACGACGAAGGGACACGTCACCGATGAGCTATAGCACCTCGGGCGGCGCGTGCATCGTCCCGTTAGGCTCGCTGTGTGGGTGAACGGACGTTCGTTTCTGTGTAAATTATCGCCGGCTTCTCAGATCGAATTGTTACTTCTCTGCAGCGAGTGTTGGGCCGAACCGGCGGTTCATTGAATCTTGCTGCCCAGGGCCCACTTCCGCCCCTTCGCAAGGTGCGTCTTCGCAAACGTTGAGCGGGCGCCAGAGCCTGTAAGCAAACGTGACACAAAGTGTGAGAAGTCGCCGCGTGGAGAGCTGATCACCGCACGCAAGCAGTACGAACGAAGCAGTCCGACCTCCAGGCCAGGGCAGACACGCGTCTCGAGCAGGGGCGCGAGACGTACTGCTCACGGCGAGCCAATGCGGGCAGCCGCCGTACACCACCCCATGATTGATTGACATTCGCAAACGCTATCTGCCTGCGCCAGCAGGGAGGATGCAGTGCAGAAGTTCGCGTACGAGGCTGGCAATCCAGCTCCCTCCACAATCGCTGGCCGGAGGGACGATCGCTGCGTGCGGAGGGATCTCCATCACTGCGCAACCACGGATCTGGAATGTGAACGGGATCGCGGGGCGCAGGCTGCCCCTCTCGGCCAGCAGCAGCAGTCCCACCCGCATTCTCGCCCGGTTCCTTCGCGGCAGGTTTCGCACCCAGCGCGCACCCGTTGGCAGGAGCCAGCTGCCTCATGTGAGACGCTCCCCGTGGCCGTCCGATGATGTCCACGATCGCGCGGGGCGCGTCGCGGAGACGCGAGGACCCCTTTGGGCGAGGCCGCTTAGCTTAACGTGCCCACGTCCCCGGTCTCCGTCCTGGATCTCCTCCAAGACGTGTTTTGCGCCCAGTGTTCAGGGTCCCCCCTGCGACTCGCGTCGAGATGCCCTATATGACAATTCATCCGCCGGCCAGGAAGCGCGTTCGACGCGCTGCCTCTCACTTCCCCACCCCCCCTCCTGTCTCCAATGGCTGCTCGATTGCCTGATGAGGGCGGTCCGAAGCCCTCCCCCAACGGCAGCCACCAAAGCTCGCGAAGGGCGCTCCGTCGAGCCGATCCTCGAGCCTCGCTCTGCGCGGGTCATTGCGCCATGGCCAAGGCCACGCACCCCCGAGAGGACGATCCGACTGGGGAAACGGGTTGCGCCGTCGGTGGTGCGGTATAAAAGGGAGCGTGCGGCGGACTCGTCTCGGTAGGTCCACGACACACCTCCCCCTCCACCAACACCCACATGTCTCTGCATAAGTTTCGCATCAACCCCCCGAAGCCATACGCGGAACGGATGACTGAGACCCGGGCGGAAGTCCGCAGGCTCGTCCGTGACCAGCTCTGTAGGTCGCCCTGTCCGGCTGCCGTACTGCCCCCGCATTTCTGACCCGCGGCTGCGACAGCGCAAATCACGGGGCAGCCCAACGCGACGATGAAGTGGGCACACAACGCCTACATGAAGGATGTCGTCTCGCGCTACCGTGTGCGCCTCGAGGGCTGGCCCTTGGCGGAGGTCCCGTTCAGGAACCTCAGCGACGTCCCGAACCTGCAGAAGCTGGAGCTCCTGCTGCGCGGACTGCACGACGGGACCATCCGCTTCGTCCGAATTACCGAGGAGCAGTACCAAGCCATGCTCGGGGACCCCTCCCCGTGGGTCGGCCACCAGGACGCGGTTGGGGAGGAGGGCGACGCGGACGAGACTTGAGCGCGGGAGCCCTGCGTTCGTTTGCTAGGACAGGTCAGTGCAGACGTTCGCCAGCGCGCCGCCGGAAGATCCGAACTCAATCATCTCACCTAGGACATTCTATCCTCTTGGTTTTTGGGGTCGTTGGTTCTCGTTTTCGCCCGACTCGGCCGTCCCGTCTGGAATGTGGAGTTCGCCCGGTGCTGTCTATTATACCTTCCCGTCGCGCTTTCGCACCGTCCGCGCTGCTGTCACTGTGTATGTACTACTGTGTAGAATTCGCTGTCGAAGCCCCCAAATTACATATCCGGTCCTTGTATACCCCGTATGGGTGATGGTGTGACCCAAGAAGCCAACTGTGCGCACCTGGATCACCATTCAGCCTACCCCCACACTACGTAACGAGCGTACCAGTCCAAGCGAGGACACTGTGGCGGTGTCTCTTGCGTGGCACCCACAATACTTGTCGATGCCGATCGCACCTTGCTGGGAGTATCACTTTCGGGGAGGACTGCGCACTGTTCCATGGCGGCTGATCGATACGGTGGGCACGAGCCACGACGCCCTGTCAAACGACCCGGCGAGTAGGACATACATGACGTAGCACAGATTCCGGACACTTACCGCACGGCTCGTGGCAGGTTCCCCTTGAAATAACGCATAGGCCTATATATGCGCACCACAGCGGGCGCACACAACGAGGGCTCGGGTCGCCGGGCGGTGGACCGGCGGGCGGTCGCGGACTTCATCGACCTCATCGATGGCGCAACACGCATTCCGGACGGTGCAGCCATGCGCCTACGCACCCGCGCGGAAGCACGTCTCATGACACACCCCCAGCGCGGCCGCACGCCCGCTGATGAACGCACCCACAAAGAGCCGCTAATCCCTGTGATGAACCGGCCTGATCGCACAGGCTGCTCTCGAGTTCTACGCTGGAATGGGGACGCGCCGCGGCCGGTCCTGGTCTTGGTCCTGCTCGCGCGCCGAACTCCTACACGACAGAAGAGATGCGGTGAGGAAGAACTTCGACGTCTGATACCACTTGGAATGTTAAGGTTCAATGGGAATGGGGGTCCGAGACGACGGCGCGGGCGAGCCCGACGCAGAGCTCGCCGTCGCGGTGCCTGTAAGGCGCCAGCAACTGTTACGCAACGGCAAGCATCGCGGGCGTACTGGGCCCCACCTCGGCCGAGTGCGTGTGCTGCAGAAGGTGGGACTGCCGGCTCGATGTCCGTGGTGACGAGATCTCCTCAATTCCTTCAGTTTACTCACGAACAACGGACATTCGGATGGCGGTGATATCGGTGCCACGCAGCTCGAGAGGATGGGGTTAACGCATCAAGATGGAGTGGGGGACCAGCCTAGTGCGCTGAACATCCGGACACGGCGCTTCAGCATGGGAGGTCAATAATCAATGAGAGAGCGCAACGAACTTGCCGCATGTATGGCTGAACGGCGCGCACATCAAGAACGTCCTGGACCGCCAAGCCCAGACGGGCGGTTGTCGGCCGAGCACACACGCGCACGCTGCGCGACATTGAGTAGCAAACATTGCGAGTTAAATTATACGAAAACGGGACACCGGGCGGGCAAACACTACACGACTGCCTTGCGCCTTGAGAGCGGCTTCGTCTTTTTCCTCTTCTTGCCCTGCTCGAACGCGTTCGCGCTCTTGAGGTCGCGTCCAAGGGGGTCCTCCTTCTTGACCTGGTAAATCCGGACCTGTACACGCCGTGAGCGACGCGTTCGAGCCCCTGCAGCGGTGGGATACGTACGATCCAGTTCTCGGAGGTGAACGCCTCGTCTGCCGGTCCGCGGAACGGTCAGGGCCGCACTCGCAACGTGGCACAATTAGGAGCTCACCCAGATGATCCAGGGTCGGCCCCGTCTTCGGAACCTGTTGGCCGCGAACGCGATCGACTGCCTGCTGCCCCCCGAACAACTCCGCGAAGCTATCAAGCGAATAATGAGCAGAGCACGCCGCATCCACGCACACGCGTGGGCTAGGGGACGGGGGACGCACCGGTAGTACGACATCTTGTACATGAGACTCTCCTTCATGGTGGCGGGCGCGGCATCGTCGATTCTGTACTCGCCCTTGGCCGTGAAGTAGTTCGGCTCCTGGATCTCGTCAGGCCAGACACCCTGCGCGATACGAACCATCCAAAGGAATTTGTTGATGTCGTCGCCGGAGTAGCCGATGAGGCCACCGAAAATGACGAGCACGTATTCCACATCGTGCTTGCGCAGGATGGGGTACGCGACCTCTTCGGTGCTGGACATTGCCTTTCCAACGGTCGCAATGTGCGCTGGCAACGGGGAACACGTGAAACAATTTAGCACCGAGGCAAGCGAACAGAAGGACGGCTGCGAGGCGCAGGTACGCACTGTTGTTCCACGTATTGTTGTCGACGAGTGTCGGCCTGTCTGCCATCCCGGCGATCTGGTATCCGTAGTCCCACCAGCTCATGACCACTGCGTCTTCGGGCGTGTTCTGGCGGAGCCAGTAGTACGCCTCGCGGAAGTCGTCAATGATGTGCTGGCTCCCGTCGGGGTTTGTAGACGCGAGGACGACGGACGGAGAGGAGTATGCGCTCGACGTGACGTAAGTGCAGTGGAGGACGAAAAAGAGGAGCATGCCGAATGCGTTGAAGATGACGAGGGAGCGCGTGTCCAGCCCGAAGATCCCGCGAGGCTTGCTGCTCTTGTCAGATGGGGACAAAGCTGCGATGAGGCCAGATGCCAGACCGCTGGCCGAAGACTCTACAGGAGCAGCTTTCTTGGCCTTCTTGCCAGTTGCAGGGGCAACTGCGTCCGTGCCGACGGAGGAGCCGCTCGCGGGAGAAGCCGCAGCCGCAGAGTCTGCTTCCGTCGACGGGGCAACGTCCTCTGAGACCGCAGGCTCGACCGGGTCCACGTACGTGTCCAGCAGCGAGGAGAACGCAATGGCAGCAGCCACGCAGACCACAGGGGTAAGCGTGAGCATCAGCCGGACCATGACTCCCGCGAAGTAGCTGGCGACCAGGGCGTAAATGATGACGAACACATGCTCGTCCCGTAGCTCCCGGAAACAGAGCACGACGCCGGCGGGGAAGATGAAAATGAGGAACTGCAGATCCATAAAGAACGAGGGCCATGCGGTGGGCTGATGCTCCGAGACTGAGGCGATGATGGGAATGTACCTGAGTGACAGAACATGTCAGTCAAGGGATAGCGCAGCCCAATGCAAATGTACGTACTTCTTCGCGTAGCCCGTGTCCCAAAGCGAGTAGAAGCGGCCGGTCCAAGGCGCGATCCAGCCCTTGTACGTGAGGCCGCCAAACGCCAGGGCACCAACGAGGCCGATGACGATGACTGAGCTGTAGAGGATGCTCTGGAACTGCTTGGAGGACACGTGAGTGCGCACCATTCCGGCGAACGCGACGATCTGCAGCAGGCCGAAAACACCTGTGGAGCGGGCAGGGTCGCATCAACGCGCACACGCCCGACGATCAATGAACCTACCCAATGCCGCCATATGCTCGCTGGTCCGCACAGGTTGGAACCCGACGAAGGGGACTTGCATACTCGACAAGGTCCCGATCGCGTACCAAGACGAGTATGCGACGTACAGGCGGCTGCTGAATCGCCCCATGAGGATCAGCGTCAAGGCGTGTAGGGGGATCATGTTCGTGATGAATGCATAACCACCTGTAAGAGTATGTTATCAGCGCGATACATCTGATGCAGATATTAAGCCGCACGCACCCCAAGCGGCGACCATGTAAAAGTAGAACAGCGCGGTTAGCGTGCCGAAGAAGGCGCTTCCGGTCTTCAGAGCTTTAATCCAGCAGTAGAAGGTGAACATGAGCAAAAATATCGCGATAGCCTCGTTGTCATATGACCCAGCGACGGAGCGAGAGATGTAACCGGGAGCAATGCCGATGAATGCGGCCGCAAGGAGCCCAGCACTCTCATCTTTCATCTCCTTCGTAAACCTGTGCATTCGTGAGTAGACTCGTCTTGCATGTAAGAACAGAACACTTACATGTATGTAGACCAGGCGGTAAGGGCGCTGAACCCTGGCGCGAGGAGAACACAAATGTTGCGGATGTCGACAGGGAGGTGCAGCGCATGGAGGACGTTGTAGATGACACCGCTGGTAGCCATCAGACCCGGGTAGATCGTGCCACCTACGACACGACCAAGAGGATACCAGGCGGTGGGGTCAAACCAGTTCCAGAATTCCTGTAAATACGTTTGGTAAGCCTCTGCAAGCCCGGAGCATGACGCGCCAGTAGCGGATGAGCGGTCTCAGAGACTTGATCAAGACGGGCGCGGGGGCGAGTCTTTGCCACCGCTGTCGATTCAAATGGCCCAATGCGCGTCGTAAGAACCTCAGGAGGAGAACAACTCACATAGAAGCCCTTCTCAGCAAGAACCCTGGTAGCCCGACTGAGGTTTGTCCTAGCTCAGCTGGGGACACAGTGACGCAATGGTGGTGCACTTACTAGTTGAACCACGGGTCACTGGTTTCTCGCTTAGCATTCCAAGGTACCCTCGAAGATACAGACGAAGACGTACAACTCGTGGATGATACTCTCAAAGTTTATGACCGCAAACAACCGCGACGCGATTGCAGCACCGGAAATGAGAGAGAGAGCGATAATGCGCAGCAGCGAAGACGTGTTCGCTACTGTCGCCGGCGACAGGTTGCTTGGGAGGGAGTATGCCAAAGGCATGGCCGGTGTCGGGGACGCGTCGCGCGTCGAGGACGGTGTTGGATGAGGGAAGGTGGAGAATGAGCGGGAGAGGATGAGCTTGAGGCCCTCCACACTCCGACGCGCTTGCTTGACACGTCGCGCTGCTATTCCTGGAGTCCACGTGAGCGCTTAACTGCGCACCGACTCTGCCTTTGGGCGCTACGCGAATGCGTTCTCTCGCTCAACGCTCACGACGACCTCGGCCGACAGTCTGCCCTGAAACCGCACCTTCTCCTACTATCAGCTCAGCGGCTCTCTCAGTAACACCACTTGCATAATGTCTTCATCTCGAGATCGCGTCGAGGACACATATGAGCTGCAGAATGACCAGAGGTTGGACGAGTTGCACTCAAAGCTTCGGACACTACGCGGCGTACGCTGACAATATGTGCGTTGCTCTATCACATATTGACATTGTTTACTAGGTCACCACCGACATCTACGACGATGTTGAGCGGCAAAACACGGCGCTGGATACTGCGGTGAGTGCCCAGCCAGCCGTCTCCGTATCTTTCCTTCTCAACACTGCTCTCCTCAACCTTAGCGCGACGCTTTCTCGTCATTCGGAACGTCTCTTGCACAATCATCACGACGAGCCAGTCAAGCATTTGGATTAGGGCCTGGGGGCGTCAAGCAGTGGCGAACAATCGGCTACTGTGCGGCTGCCTTGGTCGGACTATGGATCCTGTGGAAGATATTGTTCTGGTTCTCGCCCTCAACATCCTCATGACCATGACACTAGACTCTATACTGTACTGTACTTCTGCATGCTACTTGCGACACCCTCGTGTTACTTATACCTCGCTATTGACCCTGGATCCCGCTTCAGTAACGCAATCTGGCTTCAAAGCTCCAAGTTCGACGGGATTCACAGGCCTCACTGCCCAGCGAAGCGTATCTCCTTCAACATGAGTAGTATATGAGTTGCAGGAGACAAACTTGGGCCAGTCTACATCCCCCATATGTACTGCGCGATGGTGAGTCTTGCCATGCCGCGAATTGCGCGACGAGACCTGTGCGGCGCAATGTCGATTCACATATTGCCGACCGTTGGACGCGCCGACGTGAAACGTTGACCACTCCCTCATTACACCATAAGTCTGCTGGCCCTTTCAAAAATAGGCTCTCCTGACATATCCGCAAGATATGACACTAGACTCGTCGCGTTCCAATCACTTTGACTAGACACGTCCTCGATCCCCTTCGACACTTGCAAGTCAAAGTGCAGCGCCGTCGGGATAAAGACGGCGGGTTAGGGTTCTACAATAGGAAACGATGATACCATTGCGTGTTACGGTACTCGATCATTGCCTGCGGCAAGAGTCGTCCGCTCACTCACTCTCTTCCTCAACCATCATCCCTCCAACCGCCCTCGGCCGTCTTTTGAGATAATGTCTGACAAAGATGTCCTCCTTTCCATGGGGTTCGACCCCGCTCGAGTCGAATGTACACCCCACTACCTTTGCACCCGAAGTCGCGACTGACACGCGCATCCGTGCTTTGTAGGGGCATTGAAAGCCACAGGAAACCGCGGCCTGCAGCCCGCGATGGATTTTCTAATTGAGAACGATGGCAAGCCCATACCCGATCTCTCATCTGTGACCGCGTCTTCCGCCGCCGCACCGAGTGGCGGTGGCGGCGAACCCATGGACGAGGATGATGAGGACCTGGCCGCGCTCAAGGCGGTGTACGGAAAGAACCTCGCAGGGGGAGCCGGGGCCAGTGCGGGAGAGGGCAGCGCCAGTGCAGGCGCAGTGGTGGAGGCGAAAAGCATCAAGTGCGCGCAGTGCGGGAAGACGTTTAAGACCGTCGAACTCGCGAACTTCCACGCTGAGAAGAGCGGGCATGACCAGTTCGAGGAGTCTACGGAGGAGGTGCGCTGCCGTTAAGGTTTCTATGCATGCCTACCCTTGGCCAACCCGTAGGTACGCATAGATCAAGCCTCTGACCGAGGAGGAGAAGAAGGCGAAGCTTGCAGACCTGAGGGAGAAGCTTGCCCAGAAGAGAGCGGTCAAGGCGAAAGAGGACGCGAAGGAGAACCTTGCGAACGAAGCTATCCGTAGGAAAGCAGGTCGGGTAAGTGAACGTCCTCGCGCGGCCTGCGGACACAGCTTGATGCACCACCACCCACACAGGACATCAACGAGATTCGCGAAGAGATGCAGCAGAAGGAGCTCCTCAAGGAAGCTGAGAAGAAGCGGAAAGGTGTGCTTACAGTTCCACCTTTCGTCATGCCGGTGCACACTAGTGCTAACAACGATGCCGGAAGAGAAACTTGATGACGCCAAGGCTCGTGCGGCTGTGAAGGCACAAATCGAGGCCGACAAGAAAGCGCGCGCGGAGAAGGCTGCGCGCGAGAAGGCACTGCGGGAGGGGAAGACTTACACAGAACAGTCGACCTCCGCGGCGGCCGCTGGCGCGTCGACAGCTCCAAAGCCGGCGGGCAAGGACTACCCCGAGACGCGACTACAAATTCGTATGGCCGGTGGAGGAGCGCCATACACAACAACACTGCCTAGCGATTCCCGTACGCTCCACCATCCTGCTTATGCTGATGGAGACCGGACGCTGATGCATTAATCCCAACAGCCCTCCGCGCGGTAGCGGAGTTCGTCGCCGGACAGACCCTTGCGGTCGACGTCGACACCGTCAAGTTCTCTCTTACGTTCCCAAGGTACGCTACCAGGGCTACGCAACGGCTCCCTCCCGTGTGAATGACTGTGGGCGCGTGCTAATCCGTATCTCCGTCCCGCAGGAAGACGTTCTCGCAGCAGGATATGTCGCGCTCGTTGCGAGAGCTCGGGCTGACGCCTTCGGCGGTAAGTACAGTCTCGATTTGCCGATAGAGAGATATGTCTGACTCGGGGCTGGAACAAGGTCTTGATTGCCTCTTGAACCGAGAAGTTGTGATGTTGATTCTGTCGTTCCGGCGTTGCGTCATGGAAGACCGCCCGGAGAAGCCGCGGTGGACGGTTGCGTGGGTGGAGGACGGGGACCTGCTGAATTAATCCAACATGTATTTGTATGCTGTTATGCGCATGCGAGGCGCTGTGTTCTTGAGCTTCCCGGGTCCCCGTGTGGTCATAATATAGGTCCGCGTTCCTGGGGGAGTATGGTATATGCATAATTGCGGGGCGCGTGCGGGGAGTGCCGCGGGCGATAATCAGAGGGAAGAGACGCCGTGTTGTTGGGTGTGGGATCACTGGCAGGATCATTGCTTTTTGCGCCAGAGATGCGCTTGCCTTCTCTTCCATCCCTCCATGTCTGTCTGAGTTCCGCTCTCTCCCTCTCTCTCCCTCTCCTCGTCTTTCTGCCTATGCGCTAGTTCTCCATGGACGTCGCCCGCGCACGCTCGCCCCCAGCCTCGCTTACCCGCCGCCCCATAGGCCCTCGCAGTCCCGGTAGAGCTGGCACCGCACCGCCCAGGAACATCATCCCTCTCGACCTCAGCGCCCGCTTGCAGGAGGATGCAGCGCCAGTGTACGCTTCCCCAGAACCGCTAGTCTCTTCCAGCCCGCGTGCGGACTCACCTATGTTCAAGAGGCCGCCCTCAGAGCAGGAGCACACGCTCTCTGAGGCCAGCGCCCGCGGCGAGCCCGAGGGCGATACGAAAGAGTCTCCGCGCGCACAGAGCCCTCCCCTATCGCCTGATGAACCGGGCGTATCTCTCAGCACACTCGAAGATGCAAGCGAGCCTCCCGCTCCCGAGAGCGACGCACTCCCCAGCGTACTCGAGGATGCAAGCGGCGAGTCTCCCAGCGTGCTCCCGGACGCGGGCCCGCCAGAAGCCACAGCCGCAGTCACGATACCTCCGCCCGTGCCGGAGCCTTCGCCGTCCCCGCCCCGCTCGGATGGGAGCCGGCCCCCATCCCTCCAGGTGAGCGCGCATCGCAGGAGCCTGTCAGAGAAGAGCGTGCAGGCGAGCCTCGCCGCTATCCCCCTCCCCGCGCCCACCGAGGCCTCATCCACGCCCGCGTCGACGCGAGCGTCCACCCCGGCGCTCACCCGCATGATGATCAAGCGCCCGCCCCTCCCACCGCCGCCTGCTCTGAACTTCGAGGCTGAGCCGATCCAGTGGAAAGCGATGACTCTCGAGGCGGCGCAGTGGACATTAACCTCAGAACAGCTTCAGGAAACTGTCTCGCGGGCGATCAGGCATTCCGCGTCAGAGTCATTCATCCGTGTAGTGCCCACGCACACATTTGACGTCGAACTGCCGCAAGAATTGGAGCGGCTGGAATCTGTATGTGCACAGCATCCCCGCTGTCAACTATACACAGCTAACCGATCTTCATGTAGTTGAGGATGACAACCCAGGCGCAGTACAGGTTTAGTATGCACCGGCGCACGATGCTGCTCCAGTCGTTAGCTGCCTTGTCGCAGTCACAATATCCAGACAACGGCGATGGTGAAGCGCTCTACAACCTGACAACGCAGCTCGCGGAGCTCACCGTCTCGTGTGACCGACTTATGGAAGCCCTCGTGCGTATCTCCGACCAACGCGCGCAGATCCAGCAAGTACAGAACTTGCACATTGCTTCCGCGCTCTCCATGGCGCTGCGAAAGCTGAACACTTCGTACGCGAAACGCACAGCGGATTTGGCGGAGGCGCGTGCACAGAACGAGGCGCTCAACGCCGAGCTCGAAGAGGCGTGGAGCATGGCTCAGGACATGGCGCAGGAGATGGACGATCTCGATAATTTCGACCTCGAGTTCAGCGACGAGGACGAGGACGCGGATGCGCTAGAGGCGGAGATCTACAACGACATGGACCGCATGTCGACGGTGGCAAGCGTGCGCAACGCGGAGGTGCTCGAGATCACCGGCAAGGCGGTCGCAACGAAGGCGATGCTCACCACGCTGCCCACCGGCGAGAAGCAGGGCGACCGCACGAGTCGCGTGTTCGCAGCGAAGAAGCGGAGTAGCAGGGCATCGAAGGCGAGCTTGCGCATTCCGAAGACGCCAACGAGCGAACGGAGCGAACGTCCTGACCGCACATCCATCCATTCCATCCGCCGGAGACAGAGCCGCAGCAAGAGCATACGGCGGCGTCCTGAACGCAACGAGGCTGTGTCCCCCACGGGCGAAGATGTCCCACAGATGCCTGTCATCCGCGCGCCTGGCGCAATGCCTAGAAAGCAGGGCTCGTTTTTGGAGCTGTCCGAGACGAGGCCGGTTTCCCCCGCAATCAGTGCGGTGTCAGAGCCGCCGCCGCCACCACCACCGGAGAAGATGCAAGGCCAAATGAGCTCATGTGAGTTTTACTTGACATTCGCGTTCGTCGTCAGAGGCTGATATACCGACTAGCACCATCGGAGGATATACCCCCACCCGCACCTGTCGTCCCCAACCCGCCCCCATCACCCACGTTCGACAGCATGAGCATCCCTACTATCTCATTATCTGAAGAGCCGAAGGCACCGTCCTCATCATGGCGCGCGCGCAACCTCTTCTCGCGCCGTGTACAGTCGATGCATCCGACACGTGCAGCGGACGACACAGCGACGGCCCCGCTCAAACGCTCGATCTCGGAGGTCAAGCAATTTGACGGGTGGCCATTCGGATCGCACAAGACACAGCGTTTCTCCGTGCCTGTTTTGTCCGTCATCCAGCCCCTCCGGAGCCGGTCCTCGACCGACAGCGCGCCCGCCGCGACCTCATCGCGACACTCGTCCACCTCAACGAGGTGAACGTGCGCGCACACACCAGCTTAAGTTATCACATGTACATGTCCTGCCGGTTTGGATCTTGTATCTCCAGTACGTCTCCCCTCTGGAGTTTCCTCTCCCTTCCGCCAATCCGCTGATGCCCGACTCGCCCGCAGTTTCTTCTCATTCGTTCTCTCATCTCTATCTGGAGTGGACCGCCCTTCGTTACCCCACCGTCGTAATACCAGCACACCGCTCCCCATTTTGGCTCCCCGCGCATCTCTCCCCGTCTGAACGCATGCTTGCTATATCTCCCAGCTCCCCCTTCCTTCGCACTCCGACTGTACCATACGCAACCCTCGGCCCTTAATAATGCCTCTGCTACTGCTGCTGCTACTGTTACTGTTACACTCCCATGCTGATTGGCTGTCACAATGTCGCAGACTCTGGGCCCCCGGCCATTCACGCGCGCTCCTGTATTGTTACCATACACATCAATACCTCATCCACACGCACAAACCGTCTGCCTACCAGAATAGCCGCAGCTCGAGCGCTCAGACCTCACTCGTCACCGGTTCACCAGCCATAAGCTTGAGAAGTTCTACTCCATTCTTGGTCCTTGAAATGACATAGGTATGGACGCAAGCCGCTCGAAATGCAGCCCCTGATACGTCGATATACACAAACGAGACACGCACCGCGAATCAGTCCGTAAAGGCGAACCTTGGGGAGACACATTACTACTGCAACCGGGACCGGTCAGCTCGAAAGCGCTCGTACCCACATGGTTGTGGCGTACAGGACTCCGAGCACCTCCATTAATGGTTCACGTCACATATACAATCAATATGCTTTGTTATACTATATCTCTCTCGGAGACTCAATTTGATCACTGGCAGCTCATGCTACTTGTATTTACCGTCCGGTAGGCACTGGGCCAGTGAACAGGTATCCAGATCTCGCGTGCAGAGTTCGAAGTGGCATCCAAGGACTTGAAGCTTCGTTATGCAGTCCCTCTCTTGCAAGCGCTCTCGAACGCAGCTTGCAGCACCGCGACGTCCGCCAGGCCATCGTCGTCTACGCTGTAGACCGACACTCTTGTTGCTGAGGACGTTAAGTATCTGTTTCAACACTGCGCGGAGGCGCATGCGGCGCACTTACTGCACGGCGGCGATGAAGGCAGCGTCGCAAGCGGAGGCTGTTCTGCCGGAGAGTGGTCTGGCTGGTGGGATTCTGGCGTGTGGAGAAGATACGGGACTCGCGCCCGGCTGCTATGTATGCATTCAAGCACAGCGTCGCAGGTGCGGTGACGGTCGACTGTGGCATGCCGGGCAAGTTGTTCGCACCGTAGATGGCCGCCCTCGATGATGTGGTCCATTTCCTGCGACGAGACGGTCGTCGCCGTCTGCGCGCTCGCGGGGCGGCAGAGGACAGAGACGAAGGCGAACGAGCTGTTGGATATGATCACCATGTGGTCGAGATATGGCGAGATGCCAGCCATGTACTTCGATGTCGTCAAATCGAACATAGACAAGCGTGCCGCGGCAGAGTACGTGATGCTGTGGGACGGTGAGCGAGGAGCCGTTGTTGCAGAGCGCGGTTGCCCCGAGGGCGCCCTGTGCGCTCAGGCTTTCATGCACTCAGAGCCAGCCGAGGAGCGGACCCCCCGTGCCTAGCCAAGACCGCCAGAGAGCGACAATACAGCTCGTGCGGGCCGCGGAATTCCAGGACAGCCCATCCTGCCCCTAGCGGTGTTGTTGTGCGCGGGGTAGCGTCGACGGTGTCGGACGCACTTTGTGATGAAGGAGGGCTGTTGTAGACGGCCACGGCGGTGTACTGGCCAAACGGGATGTTGATATGGCGCAGGACGGAGATGGCGCGGGCACTGGATGTGAGATGTGTTGGCTGAAGATGGCCTTGCGAGTGTGTGATGCGGCACCGGAGCTTAGAGTCTGGACCAGAGCATGAGGTCGTGCCCGTCGCATGGTGTCGCGTGGGTACTATCGACGAGCGGTGTCGACGTCGTTGTGGGTTGCGGGTCAATCCTGTGTGCAAATGCTGGGGAGCACCTGCACAATGCAAGGGGATTTATGTGTTGTTTTTGCTCGCGGGTGGCCTGTAAGCACAAAGTTGTGAGCGTAGTTCATGTCGACACAGGGTGCCGGTGTACGGACTGCAATATATGTATTCTGTGGACATTGGCGTCAAGCTTTGGGACATTAGAACGCACGCCATGTCGCCCGGGGCAGGTTGGAAGTAGGCGGAGTGCTCCGTGCACAGAGAAAACCGTGGTGGGCGCGGGACGTGTGCGGCAGCTTGACATGTCGCAAGTCGAGTACCATTTCCTTGCGTGCAGCGTGTGGTAGGAGAACCTCGCGCGGCACGTGGGGGTGACACATGCTGAAGGCCATATGGCCGGAGGCAGCCGTTTCGAAGATTGTGAGCGCAGTTCGAATCTGCACAGGGTGGAACCTGACCGGGACCTTCAGCAATAGCGTAGTGCTATCGGACGTACCACGCAAATGCCTCACGGAGCCACAAGATGATTACAGGGATGGTAAGCACGCCGACACCGCAAATGACATGGTACTCGCAGTTCCGACAGGAACATTCCATGTGCCATGGCGTTGTTGATGAGCGCAAGCGTTCAATCTCCTGCGCGCCCTGGCCCTATTGGGTTTTTGCACCTCATGCGCCTGGAGATGTCAACGTCGAACGTAGTACACCGCTAGGTCGTAGTCAGTAGGAGGCTCATGTGCCAGTGAGTGTGCGCGCACCTGTGGCGTCTTGGTGCCCGTTCAACAGCGGACATCACATAAGTAGATAAATCCCGTGTTGGATGTTGATCAACGTGCAGTGTTTAACTCGAGACCCGGAGAACAGGTTAACATTGAGAAAGGAACGCAGTGACATGGTATGATGATGGTCGTCGCGAAAGCTCAACCCTAACCAGGATGAAATGCACTCGGCCATAATATTCTAGTCGAAGAGGGTGTCAGAGGACGAGATCAGGAATCTCGCGTGTTTAGGGCGTTTAACGGGCGTTTAGTGAGCGCTTTCGAGCTGACCGGTCCCGGTTGCAGTACATTACCGAACATCAACGAGGCAATGATGGGAGCGACAGCCCGCGTTGCAGGCCGAGAGAAAACGTTGGCAGAGCCTCAAATAATGAGCAGATGGTGAAAAGGCCTGTAGCGTCGCTGTAGTGCGGACGTTCAGTAGTACTCCTCGCTGTTCTCGTCCCTGTCCATCCCGGGGCGCAGGCTGTGGGCGTACCCACGCGGGAACCCATGCGGCGCCCCCCCCTGGCGGCGGGTAGTACGAGTGGGCGGCGGCCGACTCGGCGGGCGCGGCGGGTGACACGACGGACGAGTACAACGCCGTGGGGAGGGAGGACGACGGGCCGGCGGTCGATGCAGTCCGCGGAGCGCCACGGCGAGCGAGCGGGCCGCCCCGCTCCCGCACAGCTGCGTCTATCTGGGACTTTGTGCGGCGCTTGCGGTCTTTCTCGTGCATCTCCACGTGGATGCTGTGGAACGAGAGGAGCTAGTCGGGAACCCATTAACGAGTTCTCCCCGCAAATGGGCGCCAGGGTAGCGCAGACGTGCCCAGCGAGAGTGCCAAGGAACTGACCTTGGTGAGCGCCGTAGATGCAGGCAGCCCGGGAAAGTCCTTGGTAGAGTAAACCCTGAACGGCCCTCCGTAGCATTCGGCGAGAATGCTGAATGGTTGCGCGGCCGCGGCGGGAGAGGCAAGGTTCATCGTGCGGTAGCGCAGTATGAAGGTGCCTTCGACCTTGACGGAGAGATCCTGCAAGCGGACGTCAGCTCGTGCGCGGCTTGCTCCCCAAAGGCGCTTCTTACAGCGAAGACGAACATGACCTGCTTCTTGCCGTTGTAGTGCACGAGCTCCGCCTGTACGAACGTCGAGCCTGCGAGTTGGGCGCTGGATTTAGAACCCTCGTAAATGGGAAAAGACCTGAACCATGCGACAATTTTTGAGTCGTCAGACTCGACAGCTTGCGTCTGCCCCGCATCACCGTCGTGTACTCCGACCCCGACACCCTGGAGTATAGCGCCTTCTCGAACAGCGGACAGGGGAGCGGGGTAGGAGGACGTCGGTGTATTGATAAGGTGTTCAGCAGATGTAGAGGAGTAGGATGGAGCTAAGAGTGATGAGTGTCGTGAAGTGATACCAGTGACCCTCGCGCCAAAACGCGATGCTGGCGGCAAAAGCCCCTGCATGACAAATGAAAGTGGAAAAAGGTTGCACGAACCAGGATTTGCAGACAAATGCATGCCATCGGGACGATGTTGAAAAAATATGGGGGGGAGAGCTTGTAGGTCCGAATTTGCTGGGGGGAAATAGTGTTCATAATTGGCGGGGACTGGGAAAAGATCTACATGACAAACGCTGCCCACGCTCTTTAGGCGATTAGTGCCTACGTCCTACGGGGACTGAGCAACTGGAACCTACTACCAGTACTCACAGCCGTCTCAACATCAAGAGTCTGTTCGCGAAGACGAGCAGCACTAGTGCTGCGGGTGTTGAGGTTGATGAAACTGCAGAGCACAACAGGAGGGGGATCGAGTGGCCGCTTGTCTTTGCGCGCACATCTTCAGGAAGACAAAGACAGACGTCCACACGGTACGCAATGGCGATGAAGGGGTTCGATCAGCGCAACGCGCGAAGGGGGACAGGCATGAGCGTACTTGCGACCAAGATCTGCCTTCTGTATTTCGTCTAGTTCCACGCGGACTGTGAAGCCGCCCAGCGGACCACTTGCAAATGAGACGGGTGGGCTGGGGTGGAGAATCAGATTGAACGGCTTCTAAGGTGGGTGGAAGACGGCATGGGCAATATTCGAGTGCGCGGAGGAAGGAGGCAGGGAGAGAGCGTACCGGGTAAGGCGCCTGTTGCGACGACATGCGGAGAGAGAGAGAGAGAGAGAGAGAATGCGAGGGTGGCTGCGTCCGAACTCCGAAGCTGCAATATCAGAGACGGACTCGGAACAGTGAGCGACGAGGAGAGCTCAGAGCGGCGGGGGTGCTATGGCCGCCAGACGGGTCGGCCGCTGACTCCATTTGTAGTAGTAGGATTGACAAAGTTACAGCTCCGAACCGACATATATTGCCAATTGGGCCTTGCAGACAGGTCTCATGGCAGTCCAGCCGTCATTTCGTCGTCACCCCCCCCCGTTCGATGACTGCCTGTACCGCCGGTACGTACACGCATGTGTACAGTGTCAACTAGTCTCTGAGCAAGATGAGATCTGCGATATACATGACGGTGACCCAGCGACGCCGGTGAGCGTTTATATATCGAGTCCTCTACACTCATCTCATTCGCTCATTTTCGCTCACGTTCGTGCTGACTTTTACGGCTTATTCGGAAATCGATGAGACGCGCCACTGAGGACATCTAAACATCGTCCTCGTGGGTCTGGCTCTTTGCACAAGGATGTCTTCCCACTTCCCCTCAGGTGTGATGCATCGCTGCAAACATTGTTTGATGCTCGTTCAGAGTTTGTTTCGCCAGCTGCAGATACCAGCGACTTGCTGACCGGTAAACTTGTCATCGTCTACCAAACTGTCATCCGTTCCAAGCACTCGATGCACAGAGATGACATATATCGTAAATGTCCGAACTTACTAATTCAAACGGTGACTATTTCCCGCCATCGGAAGCTCATGCCGCCCTGCGAGACGAGCTGTACGCGCCGCAGCCAAATTCGCAATCGGGACACCCCACTGCCAGCGATGTATAAATTCGGCCAAGCAGCAGAAGAGACAACCAAGTTCCCCCAATCACCCACATCCACGTACCCGCCCCGCTACACACCCTATGTCGCCTTCGACTGCCACTTGTCCGACCACTTGGCTCATAACCGGGTATTTCTGCTTCTGTCTTCGCAGTGTACCGTTGCTTACTCTGACATAGAGCATCTCGCGGCATTGGGCTCGAACTCGTCAGGCAACTGCTCGAAAACTCGCAGAACCTCGTCATCGCAGCGTGCCGGACCCTCGAAAAGGCGACCGTACTCAACGGGCTGAAGAGCAACGCGCAGGGCTCCCTGCACGTTATCAGGCTGGAGGTCACCGACTTCGACAGCGTCCGGGCGGTCCCGGGGGCAGAGTGGCCTTGACTACCTTGTCAACAACGCAGGCATCGTGCGTACAGTGCTCCGCGACACCGCGCCATGCCCCACGCGCTGATCTGGCTTGTGTCCGCAATACGGCTTATCCCGGACACGCCGCTCACCATAGACCCGGAGGTCCTGGTCCAGACGCTGCGCACAAACGCCGTCGCGCCGGCGCTGCTCTCGCAAGTATGCATGCCGGCGCTCGACAAGGGCAAGGAGAAGAAGATCCTGAACATCTCGAGCACGCTCGGTAGCATCGCAAGTGCGGACGAGTTCGGCGGCACGACCGCCTTGTACTCCATGAGCAAGGCTGCCCTGAACATGCTGGTGCGTACTGGCAAGTGGGGCGGTGATGATCGCTGTGTGCTGACCGACCTCGTGTAGACATACAAGCAGAGGTTGGCGCGGCCCGACCTTACTGTCATCACCATGTGCCCTGGATGGGTCAAGACTGGTGAGTGCGGCTGGTTCGCGCGGAGGCGCCATGTTCCGGGTGCGAGTTGCTTATGTCGTTATATCATCACCGTCAGACCTGGGCGGCGAGAATGCGCCGGTGGAGCAGAAGGACAGCATTGCTGGCATAATCAAGGTCATCACCTCTGTCACAGCCGGGGACAGTGTAAAGTACCTGAGGTACAACGGAGAGGTGATCGATGATCCCTTGGTAAGAGATGTTGCGTAAAATCGATAATAAAGCCGGTGTTTATCATTCGTGTATGCTTTGTTGCAATTTATAATACATGCCGTCAGTTCCTTTTTGGGTGTACTTCTTGAGAATGTGTCGCTACGGTCAGTGGTTCAATATTAGCGGACGCCAAGACGTACTGGCACCTTGTAGTGCTCGGTTTCCTGTGTAGTAATCAATGCGCAATAATTGTGGACGAACGGTCCGCAGTCTTCGAAAACCCCACGCATAGTTGGTTGAACTCTCCGAGTTTTGGAAGATAGTGATCCTAAAATCCGAGGTACGAATACCGCCGTCTCCGTCTCGTGGCAATTTGTTTTCCTGACATTCGCCGCCTCAATAAGCGTAGCAACAGACTCCGTCACGGCCTGAATGCACACTGACACGCTCCTGGACGGCTCCTGAGACTTGGTGCACGGCGTGGAAGCGAGCACGCTCCCTCTGATCAGGCGTGTGAACGCTCTGTTAGTACGGCGGCCGATGCTCTGTCTCCGAAAATCTTCGCGCCAGTTTCTATGATATGCAATTCTAGGGTACCAGAAGCTCGGCCCAGTCTCATGCCCTTCGCGCCCCTCCCACCCACGACGCTCACCATGGGACGATTTCGTGGCGGTAGTTGATAAGCCGCCCGTTGTCCCCTGGCTTGAGCGACGTGAGAACCTTTGCGACCGAGGACACGCTCTCCTCGAGCTCAAGAGGCGCGTCCTCCGTGCCCATATCTGCGTGGGGCGACAGGTGAGCAGTCAAAATGTGTGATTAGGACAAGAAATTTGGGAAGATGCGGACCTGTCTTGACCCAGCCAGGGCAGAGACAAACGACCATGAGGTCAGGCCGCTCCGCGCGCTGCTTGTACGTCTGTATATGCAGCCACGAACCCATAAGCCCACAACACAACGGCCCGTGATCTAGAAAGACGCACGAGCATGTTCAAGCCTGTCTTCGTGATCGCGTACGACGCCCAGAGCTCGCCGTACCCGTACCCGAACGCGCCGAGCGAGCTCGACACGTTAATTATAGTCTTCTTCGTGCTCCGCTCGATCAGCGGCAGGTATACCTGCGCGAGCAGCGCGGGCGCGACGACGTTCGTCTTGAACACGGCGCCCCAGCCCTCGACGTCCATCGTGAACGCGGTGTCGATCTTCTGGTTCTATATATCCAGGGTAGATGGTTAACGTATGCAAGCGGCAGGGTGAAGCATGCTACATACGACGGCGGCGTTGTTGACGAGGTAGTCTAGACCGCGTTCGCCGAGTAGCGACGCAACGTCGTTAACCGACTGCTTGATGCCCTCGATGTCGTCGACATCGAGCTTGACAATATGTAGCGTCCCCTTGGCGGTGGTCTTGAGCACCTCGAGCGCAGTCGCCTTCGCGGGGGTCCGACAGGTGGCCACAATAAAATTCGCAGGGTCTTCAAGCAGCTGCCTGGTGAGCTCGAGGCCGATGCCACGGGAAGTGCTGGGAGCTCATTGTCAGCGTCGAAGTGCACGAACGCGCTATGTCAGAGGCGTACCCCGTGATGAGCCAAGTGTACTGGTTTGCGGCGGCCATCGAGTGTCTGAGAGGGTTAGGGGGTGTAGGGGGGATCGATTGGACTTCGCATGAAAAAACATAGGTGTATGGGGCTTTATAGCGTTCTCCGGGGCCTTGGAATAGTATACATTAGCCGGCGTAGGCGAGCCGCTAAAGCTCACACGTATCTTCACTGCCATATACACGCCTTATGCGCGGATTTGGGAACGATTGCCCGCTGCGAATGTTACGTGAGAGCGCGATCATGTCTGTCCGGCAGGGGCCCGTTCAGTAGTTTGACGAGCCAGAAGTCGTGAGTTTGCCCAGAGAACTTCTTCATTATCCTGCCCGCCGCGGAAACCACGTCGACGGCTAGGGCTTCCGCCTTCCGCTGGTCTGCTCGAAGCGATGCCGCCGCATATAAACGGTTCGAACCATGTCCGCGATCTGCCCCAGGTCGGCCCCAGGCTGTCCTTGAGCCTCTAGCAGAGTGCCGCGTCGCTGTACCCATCCATGATTGGCATGTGAAAGCTGTATCTTCAAAATTAACCAAGTGAAGCGCCACGCGCGTGAGAGCGTAGCATGGCTACGAGCGCATCGTAAGCGACACGGCGGACGAGTCACGGTATGCTAGTGGCGGATGCTCATATGGAGACGAGCACCCTGAGCGCGATGCATAGAAGTGCCTTTGTGCGCATATGTAGCCACGACTGCAATGTGTTGACCTGTGTGCGGAATATATGGTTCGGAAGGAGCGGAGGAGGGCTGCAGTAAGAGTCTCATGGCGACCAGAATGTTATTTCTCCTGCTCATATGGTACTCTGCCCCTGTCAGTCCGCGCGACACAGGGCACAGTGCAGGCAAAGACCCACCTTGAGAGTCGCCCACTCGGCCATCACCTCCTCGGTACGGTCGTGTATCGTCGCACGGCAGTCACTGCAGCCCACCGTTCCGTTCGCTTGCTCGAACGTTGCGGACAGCGTCCGTGCTGAGACACCTGCCGGCGCGCGTTGATAGGACTTGTTCAGCGCGTCCGCACACTACGCATGATGGCTGAAAGCTACTCACCAGGATCGACGATGAACGCAAGCTCCGCGATCGCGGACGCCCAGATGCAGTCGAGCTGCTGCTGCGCCGTCTTGTCGCACGTCGCGGTCACGGGATGCTTCGCAGGCGGACGGGTGATGATGTCCTGGAGCGCGGCGAGCCGCTTGCGCTGAAGGGCGAACAGCCTGAAGAGGTAGATGGAGCCTATCTTGTTGATACAGGCGTCCGTTAGCATGGAGAAATCGTAGGAATGGAGATGGGCGGAGATGGTGGTCGCAAGGGTCTCTAGGCCGTGATGTGCAGCGAGGGCATAGACTTCGATCGAGCGGTGAGGAGTGTAGGAGAGCACAAGCGCACCAAGGGGCGATGCGGGGGCCGCGCGCGGGGGGATCGGTACGCTGTACATGGTCAAGGCGTCTATAGCTGCATCGGTGACCTCAAGGGTATGATCGGTGTCGATGCAGGGGATATCGTAGATGACGCGGAACATGATGTCCAAAACATCTGCTGTCTCTGTGAGGATGAGGGTCGGGTGAGGCGGAGTCCCCGAGAGGCGGCCGCCGAAAGCGTTAGTCGAGGCGGAGAGAAGAATGCGTGTGTGCACGTTGAAGTTGACAGAGTCGACAGAGGTCACCTTGAGGTCCGGAAGGGCACCGTCGGAGAGGAAGGTAGAGCTGAAGGGGGCAGAGGTGGGTGCCATCTTCGCGGACGGGAGAGAAGAGCGAGGAGGGCGGTGTCTGGACTCCGAGGAGGAAGAGGAGACAGAAGAAGTACTCGTACTGAGGACGAGTACTGAGCGCTGGCACTAGACGACTTGACGTCGGTTGTGACGCTGAGCTCCACGTGAGGTCGTAGCGAGCCACATTAATATTCCTGGCATCTGGCTCAAGCTAGTCTTACGAATATCAATCCAAACGCACCATATTTGCACTTCGTCGTTGCAGTGCGAGCCAAGTTTCAGGCAGAGGGCATAAGCATCTCCGGATGGTCGCGAACACTCGCGAGTCACAATATAACACGGGGAGATATCAGTTGACTTTTTAACGTGCCAAAACCTGTTGACGCGTCTTGCATGTGCCCGAGGGAGTCGACAGGAGTAGCAAGAGAGGACTGAGGGGCACCGGAAAGATGCCAGTGGCAGCCACTGACTGGCAGGACTCGATCGCGAACGCGACATCCAAGCCCGTGTAGCAACTCAACATAGAATATGAGCGCCGCTGGCCGTCCACTGCGGTGACTGAGCCGATTCTGCCAGTCACCGGTCAGTGGTGTAATAAGTACTCGGGGCGACCCACGTTGAAGAGGTATGCGTACTGTAACTAAGGCTTGATGTGCCACGTCCGATGCACCGCCGCACTCAAACTCCAGGTTGTGCACCCGTATCCACCACAATAGCGTTGCCGAGCGCACAGAAGAAAGACGTATCTCTCTGCCTGTGTATGACACGTTGATGACGAGGGGTCTGCCGTCAGCCCGGGGTCTCGTTGCCTACGGTGACCTCTCTTGCCAGCGTGGCGCACGAGTGGCTGTGTGGCGTTGTTCCAACTCACACATGTGCACACAACCAGGGTGGTCCATGGGTTCGAACAGCCAGACGGTGTGTCATCGTGGAGACTGCGCGCGACGGGTACACGGGGCCGCCATCCAGGGGGAAAGAAGAGCATAGTTTGGCGACCAATATGACGGTGATAGTAGTACCTGTTCAAAAGGCGCTTGGAATGAGCCTACGTCGTCTCCAATGCAAGCGGTGTACGACCGCTCACAAGTTCAGCACACGGGCTCCAGAGCTAAGACGCACGTGTGGAAACTCGCTAGGTACACAGATTGTTTTCTGCAAATAGGGAGAAAAACATTAAGCACGGTCTCGGCCACGGCAAAGAGGTGCAGTACTTGGCACCCACCTTGGCTGTCGCCCAAGCTCTGGCGACGCGATGCGGCCGCGGAGCATCATCTGGCAGTCGTGGCAAGCGAATGACGCACCCGTTTGTGCCACCAAAGCAGTTTGCAAGGAGGTGATCGAAGTATCTGCCGAGACGCTCGTCAGCGACAGTTCGCAGTGTGGCACACACACACATGAATATACATATACGCCCAAAGATAAAGGCAAGGAGAAGAGAGTAGCGACAACGGAGAATCACCTGAATGCACTTATTGGGCATAGGAGCCTACACAATCTGCGCGTTCGCAAGGGTCCATGCGCGCTAGAGCTCACGGCGCACATCCTTGGTGCATTTCGGGGTGGGCGGGTGGTCGGCCGGGGGGCGCAGGACGATATTTCGGAGCGCGTAGAGCCGTGACTGCTGACGCGTGCACAGCCAGCTGAGGTATATGGGGCCGATCTTGACGGCGAGCTCATCAGAATTGAGCTTAGATGTCGAAGGGGAGGAGGTGGGCGGAAACAGCGATAGCGATCTCCTCGAAGCCGTGGTGTGCGGCGAGGGCGTACGCATCGATCGGGCGGTGGGGGGCATAGAACAGGACGAGCTGGTTGAGCGGCTCCGAGGTGGCGAGCACTAGCACCGCAACTGGCACGTTGTACCTCGAGATCAGGGCAGCGAGGGCCGCATCGGTCGACTCAAACGGCTGGTAGCGGACGCAGGACATACCGTACATGATGGTGTGAAGGACGATGCTGAGTACGGTTGCCGTCTCTGGCAGAAGTACTTGGCGCGCGGCGCGAAATATGATAATGTATTCCGCGCGTCCACGTCAGGCCCCACGACAAGCGCCGTGAAACCAGCAATAGTCTCATGAGGCGCGTGTGCTTTGATATCGCTCGCCAAGGCCATAACATACATGCACAATATTTAGGAGTGGCTGAATCGCAGGTCCAGTGGTGACAACATGTCCTGTGGAATGAGAATAGCAGGGTCCCGAGGTAGCCTCGAAGCCTAGTTCAAAGTCTCGGTTTCTTTCCAATTTGGAGTCCGCGCTTGCGCTGTAGTAAGGTAAGATCTAAGCATGCGCCGCTCCCTCCCTCCTCTCTACCACCTCCCATCCACACCAGAATGTAAGAAAAGGGTATCTAATCGTCAATGGGCTCGAGCGCCCCATCATACATACGCGCAATAAACACAACACGTCTGCGGCCTACGCCATTACCGATGCCCGTCGCGTGCCAATCTCCGGCCGCTGGTGCGGCGGCGGGTGCCCCGCGACCATCGACGGTCGCCGCTGCAGCTTCCACGGCGCCGTCTGTGCGGGCGCGCCGGGCTGTACTGCGCTCGATGGGGGCGAGTCCAGTGACGGCGGCGGCGAGGGATACGAGTCGACGGGCGACGAGGTCGCGTATGTTGCCTTCGTCGCGCTCGGTGGCGTGATCGTGATGTGGAGGTTCGAGTTCGGGTGCGTGCGCGAGTAGGACAGCGGCGGGGGTGGTGCGTGGCGCGAGGGGGGCGCGGCGGGCACAGCAGGTGGAGGGTGGGCATGCGCGTTCGCGAGGCGGCCGTACGCGGAGCCCATAGAATACTCGGGCATGGCGGCGAGAGGCTCCGGGGCGATTGCGTCCGCCCGAACGTCTCCGGGTGAGACCTCGGTGTCACTCTCCAGTTCGGCCTTCGTCGTGGGCAGCGCGAGATCGCGCGCGGCCTCAACCCTGCGCATCTTGTGCTCGCCCTTCTCGACGTCGCCCTTTGCGTTGTTGTACATGTACAGGCCGACGAAGGTCATCGTGATGCCGACCGCTTGGAGCCCGTGGACGGGCTGCGCAAACCAGACAATCGCAATACAAATTACGGCGACGCGCTTGATGAGCGAAGCGATCGAGTACGTAACGGGGGAGGTCGAGGCGAGGATAACGAACGCGATGATGTTCTGGGCGAAGTGCACCGTGCCGTTCGCGATGAAATAGTATGTGACCGAGTGCGGCGTAGCATGCCCGTGTGTTGGGTGCGCGACATGCGCGGGATCGACCTGCGCAGAAAGCAGCGCGGGGAGGTCGTGGTATAGCCAGATGGGGATCATGAGCAGGAAGGCCATGCTCGACGAGTAGAACAGCAGGTTGAGCTTGTCGAGTTTGTGCGAGGACTGGGCGCTCGGGCCCGAGGGGACGATCTTCTTGAAGAAGATGTTCTGGGACACGAACACGATCGCAGAGCCGAACGCGCATAGGAGACCGATCGCGTTCGACACGGACATGTCGGAGGTACACACCAGCATGACGCCAAGCGTGAGCGGCAGCAGCGAAACGTATGTCTTCGGGGAGTAGCTGACGCCGAATAGGAGGGCGTACGCCGCGACGGTGAATAGCGGCGAGAGTGCCTGGACTCGCCTGTTAGATAGACAACGGTGCTTGGAAAGATGCTAACACTGACCTTGATGGTGTGTACCGTGCTAACCGGGATGCGCGATATCGCCATACTCGAAAATATATGGCCGCCCACTTGGAAAACACCCATGGGGAACGTGCTCTGGATGATCGCCTTGTTGGGATACCGTAGCCTCGAAAAGCGTACGAGAGGGCTCATGAAGAGGAGGCAGTACCCAGCGACGAAGCCGAACTGGACGAAGGTGAGGGTGACCGGGTAGCGGAAGAGGGTCATGATCGACTTTCCGGTGTTGGACGAGAGGGCGGAGGTGGTGTACCAGAGGGCACAGAGGAGCACAAAGCGTACTGTCGTCGCGGAGGGGATGGAGACAGACGACCTGCCTTGGTCGGTGAGCCGGGGACCTCGCCGTTGCGGCCATATTGACTCGGTAGAGGGTAGTCGCCGAAGGAAGGACCTCTTGATACCCTTGAGGCGATGGGCGACATCGTCCGCGGATGGCTTCTGGTCGATGTGTGAGGGGAGCTCTTCCTTTGCACCAATTATGCTGGCCAGCCAGTTGGTAGCCCGAGGTTTTTCTGAATCAAACGCAGCCCATCCGCCTTCGCGGCGCTGTTGGTGTGCCCAAGTACTGTCGACCATGTGTGGGGATCGGGGCGAGTCGAGGCGATTAGAAGAGAGTAGTGTTCTTGTAGTCTGACTAGGGGCGCATGGAGATTAGGAGGGCGGTCAGGGGGCAGCGAGCGTCGACTGCTGGGCGTTGGAAGAGACAGAGAACGGGACAGTCGAGATTGGCGGAGAACGCCCCCGCCCGCTCTCCCCGCCCGCCCGGCTGTTTGGTTCTGTTTGCTCCGTCGCTGTTCGCCTATGCAGTGCTCCTCCTCCCCGGCTCTCCCTGATCTGCATCGCTTCCGCCTCCAAACATTCTCATTTATCACCCCCTCTCTCGTTCCCGCTGGCGACTCGCGAGTGCGTCTTCCTGGGATGTGGCAGATGGACGGATTCATCGGCGTCATCGCATAAAGTCCGTTCCATATCGGACCGATCGAAGACTGCCGTCATCCACGACGGCCAGCGATGTCCCTCCAGACGCCATCTGTCCTCTGTCCTGCCCGAATATATCTTCTTATCTTCTCTGGTGCCTAGTGCACACGCCAACAGCACGTTCGACGCCCTTCGAAAGCATCGCGTTATGTGCCTGCGGGCTCAGCCTTCCGTCTTTAGGCATAGCGAAGTCAGACATTGACGTCATATCCCACGTATGTACGTCCTACTACAAATTGAAAGTCCGTGGTGAGAGCATTCTATCGACTCCTACTTATACAAGGTTCTGTGTACTGACTCAGCTAGCCACTTCTGAGTGCACCCTGCGCGTATCTTCAGAATTGAGCAACCGCACTTCCGGGCCATCGCAGAACTCAAGCGCATTCTCGTCCTCTTCCGACTCGACCCAACACCCATTCCTGCCCTCTATCCGCGCTGTCCAGTCGCTACGCAATCGTTCAGGCCAGCGTGCGTTTCTCCGAAACGACCTTTCCAGATATTATTCCCGAACCCCCTCTCTCCCGCCGTCGCAGACATCCATGATGCTAGCGATCCTTGTGGAGAGCTCCGCCCATGCACCGTCGAGATCCTCGTTCGCCCTATCTTGTGGCGGCGCCGCCGAGTGGATGATGATGCGCCGAAGTCGCGGCATCCGCGACTCTTCCTCTCCCGTCCTCTCTCTGACTGCTCGTTCAGGGGCGCCGCGCGCGCGCACTCCTAGGATGCGCTCGAGCACGTTGGGAACATCAGAAGCACGGCGGTCAATTCCGGAGATACGCAGATGGGTGAGCGACAATGACGCCGGCGCAGTATACTTGGCGATGACCCGTCCAGCGTACGCCGCGTTCTCCGCGATGCAGTGGACGCGCTTGAGGACGGGGAGTACGGCGGGCGCGGCTGCGCCCGCCTTGTCCGTGTCCTCAGGAGTGAGGAATTGGTCCAGCAACACCCGGCTATGACCCCCCATCCAGCTGAGCTCCTCCAGCACCGGAAACGTGTAAGGGGGCGGGCGCAGAAGGTATCCGCCGGCACAAGGCGACACTACACAGAGCGTTTGCAGCGTCGGCGCAGCCGCGCGAAGTAGGCTCACGACCGTGGAGTATGCCTTGACCCGCGTGGAAAGTGTCTTGCGCCAGGCGGCATAGCCCACCCTGTTGCAGGGCGTGCCGGTGTATGATCCTGAGGCGGGGTCATTGTTGAAAAGCAGATACAGATGTTCTATGCGTGCCGGTCCATGGCGGGATAGGAGATCGAGAAATTGTGGGAGGTGCAGGAGTGATGTGAACGCGAGGGTGCGGAACCGCACCCTTAAGGAGTATGCGCGGAAGGAAGTAGAAGTGAGCGCGAGAGTGCGGCCGGTGTACCCGCCGTCGGTGCATGCGAGCCTGAAGATCTCCTCCCATATCTCGGGTGGGACGCAAGCGAGGTTGAACATGACCATGGCGGAGGCGAGGGGCACCGATGTTTGGGTGAGTTGCGAGGCTTTGGGGGACGACAGACATGCCGTTCACCTTATGTAGTGCAAAAAGGAGCATGGATACCAGTAATCCGAGACAAATTGCAGAGCGCAACGCGTCTTTGGCAGAACTGGTTACGGACTATTTCCATCCAGCAGCGCTCAGCGATTATACATAAACTCACTCCACTTATGGGACGACTTCGGTTGTCCTGCAAGCAGAACCAATGAGGTCCGCCGAAGTATATTTGTATCCGGTACGTCTCAGCTCATAGGTCTTTAAGTGAAAAGACGCGTGGAGCTCTAGAACACAACGAACATGGATCATTCGAGCCATCGATAACCGTATCATACAACTATAGCTGCACGTCATCAACAGGCCTTCATATATGCACACACTAGCCCCCACGCTACAGATCCAGGTACTTCTTGTAGAACTTCACGGTGGCAGTGAACGCGCCCTCTTTACCCGCCTTGATCTTCGGGTTGCTCTGCACCGCACCAAGCCCGAAGCTGTCAGTGTCCATTCCAACCAGTGCACGTCAAACCAGGAACCAACTAACCATATCCCCGCGCACGGCGAAGCCGTGAGTGCAGCCCTCCCAGTACGTCCGCTCGTACCCAGGCGCAAACTTGCCGCCGCCGAGGATCTCATCTGCCTTCGCCTGCGCCTCGAGCCCAAACATCGGGTCAACCTCGCAGCTGTTGATCAGCAGCGGGGCCTTCGACCCATCGCGGTACGCCTGGAAAGCCCGTCAGCACCCGTGAGGTTTTACATTCCGCACGAGACGCTACGACTGACCTCGAGGTCCTCGGGGATAGCGAGGCGCGACGGGTGCGTAACGACCGTGACCTTGCTCGCGCCGCTGAGCGCAAGACGCCACGCGGGCGGGGCGCCGAAGCAGTACCCGGTCGTGCCGATCCAGGTGACGCCCTCAGCCTGGAGCGCCGCGACGACCGCGTCGATGTCGGGGGTCCACGACTCGGGTCCGTGCTTGCCCATCCACGCGGCGCGGTCGAAGGTCGGGTCGTTCAGCGCGTTCTCGGGCAGCGCGTCGCCCTGGAAGAGGTCCGGCATGACCGTGCGGAAGCCGTTGCGGGCGAAGTCATCGGCGAGTAGCTATCGGAAGACCATGCCAATATGCTCAGGATCCTGGGACGAAGGGAAGTGGGGGTATGCGTACCTTGTTGTTGTTGAGCGGGATACCGAAGACATCGGTGAGGAGAAGGACGACCTTGTCCTTCGGGTACTCTCCAGTGGGGGTGGCGACGTAGGATTCAACCCCACCGATCTTCTCGATCTTTCCTGGATACGGATGGCAGATTAATCAGTAGTAGATATACAGTGCCCCCTTTGAAGGTAGATCTGTGGCGCGTACCTTCGGGCTCACCCTCATGACGGACGCCTGAAATATACGCAACATAGACAAACGTCGGTCAATAACGATCACTTGATAACAGTTCATAGTAAACGGGGTACGCGCCTTTAACGCAGTCGTCACAGAGGCTCATGTCTTCAACAGTTGAGTGGGTTGTGGACGGTGGGAGAGGGACGTGCGACTGCGATCGCTGCTCGTGCGGTGGGCCTTTGGAGTTCCACTGGGAATCGGCGCGCCTTTATACACCCACGGACGCCCAAAGTCTATCCCCTGGGCGTACCACCAGTACTCACGCTGTTTGACATCCACCACGGATGGTGCGCCGAGACACCCCGCACCTCCGTGCACACGAACGATGCTGAGGATGTTATACGAGCGCGACTCGGCCGAACCAACGACCTTTTGCTGAAAGTCACAGACGCAAGCGTTCTCTTTTCGGAGATAGCGATGGATCTGGAAAGCGCCGTGGACTTGTATAGTATATTTTTATACCGTAGGAGTCTGTGTGCAGCATGTGCAGCCCGATAAGTGCGATACCTATGGTCGACAGGCGCCCGGTATACTGCCCTTCGGCCGAGTTCCCGAGCATCCTCTGAGACTATAACACGCACCCTTCGACGCGTCTCGATAGAATAGTATGCGTGCGCGGTCTGCGCATGCATGGAGTACAGATCCGAACAGGTTTGTGCCAAGAGATGACTCGCCACAGTACTTGGCCCCGGGCCGCAGTGTGGTGAGTTCCCGTCACCGGCGCTAGCTGCAGCCTGGGAGATGGTGTGATTAGAGAGAATACAGGGTGCAGGGTGCAGGGTTCCTGATAAAGAGTACGCCAACAGATAAATCCAACAGTACTTCGTCGGCTCTGGAAAGCAGTAACGGCCATATAGTTGCTCTTGTATGAGGAGGATGAACAACACGGCACGGCCAGCGGCCTAGCACGCAGTGATAGCGCCAAAGTCGGCCCGATCCCGAGTGCACGCTGCTTTAGGAAGGTGTTATACTACGACATCGCTAACTTGAACTCGGGCCGCAATCCTGCGGTGTCAGTGCAGTGATACCGCTGCCAGTATCTGCAGCTTCCTTGCATTCACTGTGCAGATGTGCCGCGCTGCGCACACGTCATAAAAACCGCGCAGTTCTGCGTTTCAATATCCACAATGCGCTACACTCGTGAGTCAGCGTCCACCTTGGAGGCTACTTCCATGGAAGGGTCGAGGTCGAGGATCCAGGACGAATCCGTATTGATCCCACCCGGCCCAAGCTCCCCTCCAACTCAACTTTCAAGCGTTAACACCATGAATGTCACCTTTACTTCTACTAGTCCTAGGAACTCTCCTGTCGTCGACAGCGCTACCGGTCAACACCTATTTCAGCTGTCGACCCCGGGCCCCTTCTCCTTCGGATGGCGCGGGACCACGATGCGGGATGCACAAAACGAAGAAATCGGGAGATACATAACTGGTAGAGGTCACAGCGAGGTGACCTTCGATGGACAGACGATGAGAATTTCGAAATGGCTCTATGAGAAGAGCGGCTCTCGGTCAGTGCGCGAAGTTCCGAGTATTTTTTCGCATTCTCGGCGGCTGATAATTTATATAACTCTTCAGCGGGCAAACATTCACCGCGCAGAATGGAAAGTCGTACGAGTGGATTTGGGAAAACGGAGGGAAGGGATACAAGGTGTGCATCTGGACTCCGTAGGGCGGATAGTAGCAACCCGTTTCAAGCACTGACTCGGGGGCCATGCCGCGGGGTACACAGCTCATTGCTTGCCTGACGGATCAGCTGGTCGCACGAGGGCACCTCAGGCAAACGAATTTGTTCTCGCCGTCGAAGCAGATGAACATCGATGTGATGCCGGACGGCCTGCCGATTTTTTCTCGCTGCTGCACTCGGTGCATTTCTTCAAGTCCATGGCGCTCGAGCAGGGTTTTGTGTGTCAAGCAGAGGCACAGGGTACACAAAATAGGTGCGTCGAAGAAGATACATCGCCCCCGACCTCTGATCTTATCCCGCACGTGGTAAATACGACAGGTATCGATCGGGGTATTCTACGACGCCACAAGCGCGCGCGCGCGCGACGACGATATGCGCGCGACGACGCGCGCAAGGTCGCGCGAGGCGGGGAGGGCGCGCGCGGTGGCGCAAGGCGTCGGAGTCTACATGCGCGCGAATAGACGCCGGCGGCGGACCTCAGCCACAGCGGTGTCCCAATACCGGGACAAACCGACTGGGACATTAACGTCTCGTGTTATAACCCGCGGGGTCCTGGATCCTCTGGGCTTCAGCCTTAGGATCGATGAGTTCCGGCCCTCTCCCAAGTCTCTGACAGAGCACAAAGGAGAGCACTATGGCGTCCGCCGCTTGCCGCCTTCAGCAAGAGGAAGATCAGCGGAAATGGAGGGCAGAAGGGCGAACTCACCGCAATCTGCACCGCGTGCATGGAAGTCGGAAACGCGCGTAAGCGTGAGCTGCGTGCGAAGCGGAAGAGGGCCGCGAGCACTACAGAAGGTGCTGGAGCGGCCGCGGATCAGGAGGGCGCGGGCGGCGGGAAGGGCAAGGGCAGAGGCGGTGGCGGGGAGGTCGAGGGAGAGACCTTTCCGGATGGTGCAGAAGTGATGCCGTTCGAAGAGCTGCTTGTGCTTCTTCGGAACGCGGACAAGCGGCCGTTCCATCTGAAGAACTGGAAGGTCAATATCGCCGCTGAAGCGCCGCGCGAGTGCTCAGCGGTGGAGCGCGCGAACCTGGTGTCTGAGAGCATCGGCGAAGCAATGCTGTTGCGCTGGATGTGCGTTTTTCTGGGTCAAATGGACTGTTTTAAAGTTAACAGCCCATCAGGAACGAAGGGAAACAAGAGCGGAAACGTACAAACGATACGGTCATCACGTACAGCTGCTGCCAGTCAGCGGCACGCGAGAAGAAAGCCAAAGCGGCGAAGGGAGATAAAGCGCGCGATTCCCGACGCATTCCGCGCTTCGCATGCAGCGGCTGGCTCCATCTGACGGTTAGCCCGACATCCGACGTCATGGAGGTGTCGTTGAAGCACCTGGAAGCGCACATACCATACAATGACATTGAGCTTCCGGACGAGTGGAAAGCCTATATCGAGAAGCAGGCACTCCATCAGACGCCTGGCGAGGTGAGTTTCGGCTGTACCTGTCATGGATATCGAGATCTGACGACTGTTACCCGACAGATCTGGTCGCATATCGTCGAGGTTGAAGATCAGCGAGGCGGTCCGGGCATAAGGTTCAAGGAGAAGTCGGTGTACTACCATTGGCTGGTTGTAAGCAGGAAGGAGTGGCGGCTAGCGGACACTCCGCTTGCGTCTGCGGAGAAGTTCTTGAAGGACAAAGGCGAGAAACATGGCGTCGAGCGCATGGAGGTCGAACCAGAACCAGGAACGGAGGTGGTCGCGTTTTACGTCAAGGAGTTCATCTCTGAATGGGCGGCGCACACGCAGGAGCTGGCCATGGACTCGACGTGTATGTCACATCTTCGCGTCCGGTCACGACCTTCATTAATCTCGTCACTAATAGGGAACACTAATGGTGGGAATTTCGAGCTCTTTGCCGCTGTCGCCTCCGACGCAAATGGCTCCGGGATACCACTTGCCTTCATGTTCATTTCCACGACAAAGGATGCCGCACCAGGTGCCAAACGCGCCGTTCTTGAACGATTTCTCGGCAATCTGAAGGATCTCGGTGTTCATCCGGAGTTCACCCTTACCGACAAGGACTGGTCAGAAATCGGGGCTATGCGCGTCACCTGGGACACCGCCAAGCATCAGCTGTGTTTCTGGCACGGCTTGCGTGCCGTCAAGCAGCGCCTCGTCAAAAACAAGGACACGCCTGCATCATACGATGCCGAAGAGGCTCACCGTCAATTCTCATTCATAGACGTCGCGTTTGTGCCTGCCTCGCAGCAACCGCCTGGGAGACCAGTACGTATCCCGCGCTCTCAGGCTACCTATTTACGGCAGGAATGAACCGCTGATCTGTCTCGTTGCAGATCCTGCCGCCGCCTGAGCGCCCTCTGCCTCGTGTGCGCCTACTGGTGGGCGGCCGCCCTCCTGTTCTCACGCCGGGAATACCCCCCATTCGATTGGCCCCATCTGACATTCAGCACGCGCTACGTGATGACGGTTCTGATCAGGAAGAGGACGCCGCGGATGCATTCGGCATCCTGAAGGCCAGCGGCGGCGCGGCTTTCCCTTCCGGTGTCAAGGGCAGCTCATCCGACAAGCGTCCACTGCCTGATGATGACGAGGAGAGCGACGAGGAGACGTTCTGGGCTAAACATGCGGAGACAGAAGAGTGGGATGATGAGTGGGAAGGTCTCGAGGCACAAGACGCTGCGGACATCCGGCGCGAGGTGGACCAGATTGCGGATGACCCCCGCAACGTCGACCAGAATGCGCCGACCGCCGAATCCGAGACTTCGGGACGTTCACGCGCCCCCACCTACCAGTTCTGCCCACTACTTCAGCGCAAACCAGTGTTGCGGATCTATGCCAAAACCGCTTCGCAACACTCTCTGTTGCCTGAGCGTCACGGTGAAGCACGCTCCGCCGGGGACATTCATCGGGATGCTGTCTCGGAGATGTACTACCATTGTCGGGCCAACAACCTCACGGAGGTGTGGGCCTACATGTGGAATTCCTGGTACCGCAAGGACCGCTGGTGCCTGTGGGCACGCTCAGCCTACCCGCAAGCCATTCCGAGGAAGCGGACGACCATGATCGTGGAAGCACTTTGGCGCGGCATCAAGCGGCAAGGTCTCGCACGCTACAATCGCCCGCCTGTCGACTTTGCTCTCTATTCCGTAATCACCAAGGCTCTCCCACCGTACCGGCTCAAGTTCCGCGAGACGATGAATGATACGCGCAGCGCACGCGCCCCTCAGCTATCCTATGTTCAGAAAGACTTCAAGAAAGGATGGACACGCCTGAGTAAGGTACCTATCAAGGGCGAGTACAAAACAGACATAGCGCAGTGGACATGCGACTGCGGCTCCCAGAAATACCACGCCCATCTGCTGTGCAAACACCTCGTGCAAGCCGCGGGGCCTATGCCCGCCTCATGGTGGCCCCAAGTCTCACGCTTCCATACACCGCCCTTCTACACCCTCCCGGTCAATGGGGTCATCCCGAAACCACATGAAACCATGCGCAATGGCGACTGGATCCCCCGCATGACCGCATCCTCGGCAATTCGCATTCCCAAGAAGACCGTCCATGCTCAGGAACGTGCCGAAGCGACGGACAGCGATGTGGACATCCCCGAGGTTGGGGATTTCCGGTCATCATCCCCGGTATGTGCTTATGACATAACCACTTTGATATCTCGCTAATGTCCGCATGCAGATATCCTCATCCCCGGACAGGGCACCGCACACAGGTCCGGACGGCTTGCTACGGGGAGAGGGATTCCCGGTAAGTTGTTCATAATTTAAAATCACGCGCCCATGCCCTAAACCACTTCCATAGCCCGAGGATGCTGATGAGCGTGAGACGGATGAAGTCGAACGCTTGCTCAAGAAGGCCATCTATTTCCTAGAGGAGCAGGAAGAGCATCAAGATCGACTGTTCCTCCCGAACGCGAAGCGTGCACTCCGCGCGTCCGTGGTCTGGATCCGCAACATCGCACCGCCCGGTCGCGACGGCGCATGGGGTTCGAGTCTGGCAGACAAGGATCCCACGCAGTGGTCGATCGATGACATCAAGGAGGCTCTCTCGCGCGGCCTCAACCTCGTTCAAGAGTGGCGCACTTCCCCGGATCCACGCTTTATGAAGAGCGCGAAACAGCATCTGCGGGGTGTCCTATCGTGGACCGAGGACATCGAACTTCATAACTCCCGTCGGACCATGCCGATTACGAACGCGCGCGGACGAGGACAGCCGAAGCCTACAAATGTACACGGCTATCGCTATTCCAAAAGCCGTGAGTAGCCTGTATTCTTCATTCTGCTTCCTCTCTATGTAAATATGTACAATAAATGCTATAAGTCTCGATCGGGGTATTCTACGACGCCACAAGCGCGCGCGCGCGCGACGACGATATGCGCGCGACGACGCGCGCAAGGTCGCGCGAGGCGGGGAGGGCGCGCGCGGTGGCGCGAGGCGTCGGAGTCTACATGCGCGCGAATAGACGCCGGCGGCGGACCTCAGCCACAGCGGTGTCCCAATACCGGGACAAACCG